ACCGCCTTTAGGGTCTTAGAGGAGCCATTTTTGCGGACTTGTGCTCTTTACCCGTCTTCTGTTTCCTTTTCACGGGCGCCGACGCGGAAGACTGCACCGTCGGTGCCGAACGCTTCGATGTCGACTGAAGCCGGAGCCGTCGATGTTGAAGGTCTTACCGGCCCTTCTGAGTCCATGACTGAAGTGGGATTGAGCGCTGACTCTAGTAACAGTACTAGGAGTCACGCCGCTCGGTTTTTTCTAGTTTGATTGGAAGGTTTTTCTAGTCTGATTGTGTCGACAGGACTCTGGTCGGTGTGTCTCGCCAAGACAAAAAATGCAGAGGGTGTGGCCGTCAAGTGGAGCGAGCTTACTGCCACAGCCCTTACAACGCTTGAAAAAGCCCCACTTCTTCTCCATAAAATAAACAAAAACGGAGAAGAAAAGACGGTGGGGGGGGGGGGGAGCCCGAAGGCCAGACTGAGGTAAATGAAAAAGTTTCCCCAAAATTAAACAAGTTGGGTTTTGAAAAAACAACAAAGGTAAAAGCAAAAAATGAAGAAAACTGAGGAGAAAAAAGCTACCAATCAGACCGACGAAAGGAAGGTGCTTCCAGCGCGGCGGAAAGAAAGGAACTGGCGGGATGTCTGCGCCTACCCCTCTGGGCATGCGTGGTGGGGTTCTGGGCGCAAAAATCTGTTAAGAGCTTGCCACAACACCGATCGATCCAGCACGTGCGCACTGCATCCCATGGGTGTAAAGCACAGAGACCACGTCGAAGATCCTGGTATTTTGTGGATTTGGATTTTAGGAAGGGCATAAATACTGGCAATTTGTGGGTAGGCTGGAGTGACTGTTTTTCAACCAAAGTTGCAGGGAACCTAATGCTTGCCTGTCTACTAAAGATCCCAAGTTTCAAGCAAATTAGACTAAGGGGTCCAATTCTATGGGTCCCTGAGCAAGATGCCCCCACTCATCCTTCTTGTTTGTATTGCTTGCTATGGGGGGGGGGGGAATCAAAGAAGTCAATAGCCAAACACACAAGGCCACATCCCTAATGTCTTGTCCAGGCAGAAAAGATTTGCTTTAATTTTGGACAAGCAGACATCAAGTTGTAATTTTAGCACTTCCTTTTGCACAAGGACTGGTGTACAGCTGGATATCTGCCATGGAATCCAAACCAATATTTGGAATTATCTGTCAAATTAATATTGAAATGCTAACATTTGACACACTCTGGATTTAAATGGTCAACTAATATACCACATTTCCATGGTTACACTCTCACCCACAATTAATCCAGAAAAACCCATTCAGCAAAATTTTATCTTTGTATATTGGCAACAACTGGTAAAGTGAAAAGGAATGTTTCTCCAAGTTCTAGCATGAATTCTAGGGAAGATCCCTTTTTTGGTTATGGAACTGTCTAGCTAGGAGCTAGAACAGACGGCTGCTTCTATTCCATATGTCATCACTGCACTGGTGCACAAACTGCATCATACTATTACACTAAAAACTTTGTTATTCGGTTAATCAAGTGAGCCGGAAATTCAATCTTGTGCTCCACAGTAACCAACCCCCACACTCTTGGGAGTGCCATGCCAACAGTCCCCAAGCCTGGCAGGACCTTCATACTTTCCCTGAGGTCACAGAGCTGTCCTAGAGAGCAGGGAGATGAGCAGACTAGCAGCTCACAAGGCATCTGAGGAACAAAACTGGCCTCAACTACAGCTGGAGGAAGCTATGAAACAACCACCTAAAGACATGGTGGCAATACTGGCTGACTGAGGTTTCTGGGTGTTCAAGTGCCAGATAACAAAGCTTTTACTGCATGTTTAAAATGGGTGGAGTCTGCTTACCTTTACTTTCTTCTTTTTTATTGGCACTGTGAAGTTCGGGAGGTCATTTTTGCTGGCAGTCCGTGAATTTCTCTCACACTCTACCACATCCTCCTGTTTCCTTTTTTTGGCAGTGCTTCTTAAAGACCTAAATTGTTGGGTATTGTCTTTGAGAGGTGTATTTGTACTCGTCCTTGCAATCGCTGCCCGTGAAAGTATCATTAAAGTGTGGGCAGCCATGCTGACACTGTTTTCACTGCCTGTTTCACTCGCTGGGCTACAGGCCGGCAAGTCAGGGGTAACTGGAGGGACCATGATCCTGGGCGTTGTACTATCCTCACTGTACCGTTTACATGTCGGTGTCCTTATTACATCAAAGGTGTCCTCTGAGTGCCTGTCCCCAGTTCCAGAAGGGGTACGAGGTACTGGCAAATCCCCATTTTCAGGCAGTTTAGTAGCAGGACTATGCCTCTGGATGTCATGCAGGAGCTCCACGGCTTGTTTGGTTAACGGACTGGTCAAGCAGTGGGCTTGGCTAGGAGATTTTGTTTGGTCCTTCTTCGGCTCCTTTGAAGTTAAAACTCCAGAATTCTTGCTGTTGGCATTCACCTGGAGCCCCTGTTTTTTAGCCGGTTCTTGCGCTGGAGAGCCGCTCTTCTCCATATGAAGGTTAATACTTTGTTGACCATTTGACAGGGAAGCCACTTCGTGATTAGAGTTTTTCTTCTCAACACCTCTTTCCAGCTCATTCTCTTTATTTGCAGTCTGCTTTCTTAACACGTCTGATGCTAGTCCCGGCCCTGAAGACTTCCTCTCAGATTGGGCTTCTTTTGCAGCTGTGCTTCTGTGAGCGATGTCCGGCTTACACAAAATTCTAGGCAACGTCCTCTCTCGCTCTCTTTTGCCGGGCTGAGTTTTAGCAGACGAAGGCGGTCCTCTGGGAGAATTCCCAGAGAGTGAAGAGTTTTCATTCCTTTCTCTCTGTGAAGCTTGAGGATTTCCTCCTGTTTCAGCCGGAGTGCTGTCAAAGCAAAGCACTCTTCTGTGGCTCTCATTTTGCTTGGGATCGGAGCTCGTGGTGTCAACAGCGACAGCCTCTAGCTTCTTCCTCAAGTTGGCACAGGCATTCCTCTCTGAGTTTCCAGCTCTGAAAGAAAACACAGAGTTTGGGAGATCTGGGAGGTCATGCAACTTTCTCTAGCATGATTCACCTTCAGTTGTCCGTTCCCCCCCCACACACACACACTCATTGTTCTTGTTGAAGCTACCGCTCGGGGTCAAAGAACACATATTTTCATTGCCAGGATCTCTAAAGCCTGTTTCTGTCCAGAGGTCAAATCAGCCACTAAAGGAATAGGATTAATCCTTTCTGCCTTTATACCGTTCAAAGGAATAGGAGGATTAATCCTTTCTGCCTTTATACCGTTTTCACATCTAAATTCTGCCCCTTCCTGAAGCTGCTATTTGCCCCGCAGCGAGAGTACCTGTAATTTCCTCCTATTATGCAAATAAGAGTTTTGAGAAAGTGGCAAAGGGATTAAATTGGAAAAATAGGATTTAACATCCCTTCCTCCACAGATTCTCAGCACCACCACCCCCGAACTAAAATAAACATGTCTGAAAGGTCCACATTTCAGGTCTAAATGGTCAAAATTGCCTTTGAGTGTTGTAAGGCTGTTGGGCATATTAGTAAACTGTATTATCAAACCTGGTAAATTAGGAAGGACATCCCAATCTTATTACTGCTGAACAGATCAACTTCTGTTTTCATCTTCTTGCCATTTCAATAAAGCATAAACAGAAATTCATTATATGTTTATTACTTAAGCTTATGCCTAAGAAGGAGAGCTAATGCAAATAATTCTGTGCTTTACTTTTACAAATTAATGCAGGAAGCACATTTGTCACTGTTTTTAAAACCTGAAGTGCTCTGAACAGATGTTACAGATGCAAGAAAGCCTCTACTCACTATGCGCATCTGATGCTGTAGCCAAAAACTTAAAAGGCTACCAGGAGAAATGAAGATGACAACTGTGGTGTGGAAAAAGGAAGAAGTAGGGCCCAATACTTCCCCCTTTACAGGAGCAGTCCTCACCCACCCTGATCAGACACTCACATGAAGAAATGTACTGCATGAACCAAGTAATCACATCATCACCAGCAACTCCTGCAATCAGAGTGGCCTAAAAAGTACCATTGCAAATGTTAGAAAGAGCTGACAGCCACATCTATGATTGCTTAGTTCATATGACTGAGGACACTGGGAGTCAAGAAAGGTATTGCATAAAAATTGCTCCTCGTTGAAAAGAAAAATCAACTGCTGACCTTTGCACACGAGAACCAGGACGATTTACGGAATCCAATCCACTCTGATCCATTTTTAGCTTTCCTTTAAAAAAATCAACAACAAAAGGCAGATAATGAGAAAACATTTTTTTAAAGTATCAGCTCTTTCCTATGATGACACCCAACTGTGCAGTACAAATTAAATGTTTTATTTGAGGTATCCTAACAATACAGTGTCCTGACCTAGATTGCCCAAACTAACCCAATCTCATCAATCTTGGAAGCTAAGCAGGGTTGGCCCCGGCTAGTATTTGGATGGGAGACCAGGGTCATGATGTGGAGGCAGGCAATGGCAAACCACCTCTGAACAGTTCTCTGCCTTGAAAATCATACAGGGTTGCCAAAAGTCACCTGTGACTTGACGGCAAAAACCAACAACAAAAACCTCTAGAGTTAAAGAGTATCAGTGGGGGAGTCAGTTAAGCAGTTCTACCATGAGTGCTGTGTAAAGTAGAGTTAACAGGAGTTTGCTCAGCATCTTGCTAGCTTACCGGCATTTGACTTGCTTCTTGGGAACTTCTGAGATTTGGGAGGGAGAGGTAATTTTGGAACTCCTCCACTGCCTAGAGAAGCCTGTACAGGCATATGTAGGACCTTGGGATAAATGAAAGCAGCACAGTGAAAACTTCTTGCCATTTTGAGCTGGAAAGTCTCACACTATGCAGACTGAATCATTTTACCTGACGCGAAGGATCCGAAAAGGCATTTCCACTTTGTCCCATTATCGATACAGGAATCATTCCCACCATTCCTTGCAACACAGGCTGCACTGGAGATGCAATTATAATGGCAGAACCTACAAATTAATGGATTTGCAAGTCAGTAACAGCTTTTAGGAGCTGCGGTGGCTCAAGTGGTTAAGACGCTGAACTGCAGGCTATGGAAGGTCAGTAGTTCAGCAGTTCAAGACCCAAGTGTGCCACATGACGGAGTGAGCTCCCGTCTCTAGTTCCAGCTCCTGCCAACCTAGCAGTTCAAAAGCAAGATATTGCAAGTAGATAAATAGGTACCACTTTGGTGGGAAGGTAACAGCGTTTCGTGCGCCTTGGTGTTTAGTCATGCCGGCCACATGACCACGGAAATGTCTTCGGACAGCGCTGGCTCTTTGGCTTGGAAACGGAGATGAGCACTGCAACCCTAGAGTCGGATTCGACTGGCTTTCGAGCAAGGGAACCTTTACCTTAACAGCTTTTAGTATTTGATTCAAAAGAGGTCTCAGAGACAGTCTTCCACCCCATGAAGGAAGGCTGAAGAATGGCCTGAATGCACATTTACAGCCTCCTCCCGAAACTGCATAAATCCAGTCCAGCCCAGATGGACGATAACCCGGGGACCACATGTGAGCCACTTTAAGTTCTTTAGAGCTGTCACAACTGGACACAGCTAGCCACATATTTAGCTACTGGTCTGACAGATGCAATAAAAAAAGGCAGCACCCTCACCATAAGTGTATGAAGAGCAAGATTCTAGCTCAGCCTCAGACACGAATAAGCCATGGGGACTGGCAGTCTATCCAACAGTGCCAGTTCCAGGTATTGGTGGGCCTTGGGCAGAGCAACCCCAGGGGCCCCTTTCTGCCCACCACCAGCCCCCCCATGTTTCCCTTTCCCCCCCGCGCCCCCCCCCCCAACTGTGCATCCTTCCTGCACTCTCAGCCACTTGCACCACATTCATGGCCTTTCCCCATCAACACTGGCTGATATGTATAGCTAGCACTGTTACCTCTGTGGCCACTGGGAGTGCTGCTGCTGCGCAGCACCCACATGTACTTTCCCATCAGTGCTGGGAAGATGGAAGCATGGGTGGTAGATCACTTGCAAGCGAATGGGAAGAGCACACAGGCAGGAGGTAGGGCAGGTGCATGTGTGTGGGGGGTCAGCAACACTGGGCCCCGCCGAAATCCCTGGGCCCTGGCAGCTGCCCCACCTCAGGGAATGCTGACACCCGCCCTGCTTTCCAGGATGCACAGAAAGCAGCAGCTGAGCTGATGCCTCCCTGGATGCAGTTGCTACTTCTTGGCCGTGACTGGTGGCAGCTGGAAAACATTAGGGGAAGATCTGCACATTAAACAGATGTATGCAGGACTGCCACAGTCACTGAAGAGGATGTAGAAGACCATGTTTGACATAGAATCTCCTATATGCACCGGAGTTCCTGAATAAGGAGGCCTGACTGCTTAGTGCATCTCCAAGCAGAGCTCCTTTGCTTTTCTTCTCTCTGCCTACCTGACCCACCATCTGATGCTGCAATCTAGAGCCTCAAGGAGAAATCTTACTAGTGTACAGTCTACCTCAAGAAAGGGGATGGAGACTGCTTGGCAAACAGCAGCCCAATTACTCATGTCTTCTAATTATCTAGAAGCAGTAGGTGGTCTGGGACACTGCAACCATCCCACTCTCAGGCAGAAGGCTTCCAGTGAGGAGATTCAAAAAGAGAACCTAGACTCCAGTGTTCCCTGGATGGATTTCCACTTTCATGTAGAGGACCCATGCATTGCTTATTGTGTCTGAACTTAGTTTAGCCCAGAAGAATAAGAAGATACTGGATTTATACCCCACGCTTCACTACCCGGAGGAGTCTCAAAGCGACTTACAATCCCTTTCCCTTCCCCTCCCCACAACAGACACCCTGTGAGATGGTGGGGTGGAGAGAGCGCTGAGGAAATTGCTCGTGAGAACAGCTCAGAAAGAACTTATGACTAACCCAAGGTCACACCAGCAGCTGCATGTGGAGGAGGGGCGAATCAAACCCGGTTCTCCCAGATTTAGAGTCCACGCTTCTAACCACTGCAGCGAACTGGCAAGCCCTGCCAATCGCGTAATGAGCTGAACCCTACCTCCACAACACAACACTGGAGTGAAATCAAGCCCCAAAGACTAGCAATTAGAAACAACCAGACGACAGCAATGGAGTCCATCACTAAGTCCTCCATGTTGTTGTTCTCTCCCTCGTACACGTCTAGAATCGCTGGATCTCAGGTCTATCCGTCCAAATCAGCTGCTATAGTTTTCCATTTGGTGGGCCTGGATGGCCCAGGCTAGCCTGATCTCATCAGATCTCAGAAGCTAAGCAGGGTCGGCCTTGGCCAGTATTTGGACGGGAGACCTCCAAGGAATACCAGGGTCGTGATGTGGAGGCAGAGAATGGCCAACCACCTCTGAATGGCTCTTGCCTTGAAAACCCTACGGGGTCACCGTGAGTCAGCTGTGACTTGATGGCAAAACAACAACACGTGGTTATCTTCAAATGAAGAGCACAATAACCTATGCACCAGCTTACTTTTGAAACTAAAACAAATAATTATTCACTAAGAGTAGTAAAAAAACCCTTAGTTATAACCATTAATTACCCTGTGAAAAGTTTGGAGACATTGGCGGGTTCATGGCGAACAAGTTGTTTGTTCTGGGAGGTGTCCGTAACTGCTGTGCTGTTGGGACCGGTGGTGTGAGGGATGTGGAACTGCCTGGCAACACGACCAAATTTGATGGAGTAACACTTGTACCCAAAGCTGCTGGCTCAGTCACACAGGTGGCAAAATAGACACTGTTGGAGCTACCAAAAGATGTATTTGCACCTGGCATTAGCTGTATAAACCCCCCATCCTTGGCAACATTGGATGCCCCAGCAACGGAAAAGACAGCACACTCTTCATTCTGCACATTGAGCGTGCTCACAACAGAATCTTGAGATCTGACAATGAGAAGATTCTGTTCGACCAAAGCGGAATCCCCAGTTCTTTCAGCCTCTTCTGGAGTCACTATGCACCTGGCTGGTCCCGTCACCCTGGCTGGTGACTTTGCTGGAGAAGACAAGATGATAGTTGGCAAATTCTCTCCAGTGATGCTGGAAATAGCATTGTTCAGCTCAGCATCTGATGAAATGAAGGGGTCTTCGCTGATGATGATTTTCAGGGAGACGATACCGGAGGGATCTTCGTCGGCAGCTTGACCGCTAGATGAAACGCTGCCTGGCGTTTTGGTCCCTAGACTGGATTCTCCGGCTGGCTCTGGTAGAGGCAAACAGCAAGCAGTGGATGGAGTGGGATTGCTCTCCACAGGCGTTTCTGTGTGCCTCTCGCTGTCAGAAGAAAGAAATAAGCTATCGGCATCTGGTTTTGTAGAAGATGATGGCTCCTGCATTTCTATCAGTATCATCTCAGAATCTGCTGATTTCTGGCCTTGGTGTTTTGAACAGGACTCTTCAAGCACAAGCTGATCCTCGGAATGTAAACCGTTGGAAGTATCCACCACTTCAAGCTGGGTCGCAGCTGGGTCCAGAGCACTGGCTACAGGCACTGCAACAGAATCTGTCAGTTTACTTTCATCTTGAAAGTTAGAGAGCGTAGGACTGTTAGGGTTTTGCTGGCTGGGAGCAGGAAAGAAAGCAGATCCTTGAGCTACCTCTATTCTATTTGAATCTTCCGAATGGTCAGAGTCAGCGACGTTCTTTCTTTCTAGCGTCTCATTGTGACCAGAATGTAGAGGAGAGAGCAATTTTGCATTTGTCTTTTCAGATAATATATTATCGGGCAATGAACAACACTCAGTTCTTTCTGAGAGGGACTTCTGTTGAGTATCCAGCTGATCATACCGCAATTCAGGTAAGATTTGGACATCCTGGTGCAACAGGCCCGTTTCAGTTTCTGTATCTATTCTACTCGCTGCTGTTTCATGGTTTTGATAAGAACCCATGTTGTTTACATTGAGCTCAGGAGCAGAAGCCTGGTCTGGCTCAGATTCAAAGGTAGTTTTATGCTGGCCATCCAATCTTGTTTCATCTGAATCGGTTTCAGTCCTCACTTCGGAGACCCCTTGAAATTCTCCGTCTATTATACTTTGCATCTTCAGATGTTCTTCCAGGATTACATCATTGCCACCGGACTTCAGGATACAAGCTGCCTCTTTGGAATGATCTCCTGTGTAGGACAATCTGTCTTGGGAACCATCACCTGCAACAGAGTTTCAGTAAGCTCATTACTGAGTTCAGCTAGCTGACTGCCTGCTTCTGCCCCTCAAAGAAAGCATGCAGAGTCAAGCCTTAATACCATGACCCAAAGAACCTGCTTTCTACCCTTCTACCTTTGTAAATTTTGTAACATCCGGCCTGATGAAGCTTTCAAAATGCTGTGTTAATTTGGTTGGTCTTAATAAAAGATATTACTTGGATTTCCCCCCTCATCTGACAGGTGACCATAACTCTGCACTACAGGGCTTGCAACATTTACTTCTTATTTAAAAAACTGGATTCCCCAGAGACACTTGATACAGAACACAGGTATAAAAAATACAGTAAAAACAAGCACAGCTTCATACACTAAATAACCAAGATCATTCCAGTCTTCTGCCTTAAGACAAATCAATTCAGAAACAGAAGTACAATTATTTTCTCCCACGTCTATCAAACGTTTTCAAGCAGAGGCTGGACGACCATCTTTCGGGTATGTTGTAGGGCTATCTTTCGGCTATGCTCCTGCAGAGTGCAGGGAGTTGGACTAGATGACCTGCAAGGTCCCTTCCAACTCTTAACATTCTATGACACTATGATTCCCTGTGGCTAAGATTCAGGAATTACCTCAGCCCCATGCACTGAAAGTTTTGTGCTGCCATCTTGCAATCAACATATCATATAAGCTCCAAAGCCAACAGCTGGCGGTAGCAATCATGCCAAGCGTGTGATTTATGGGAAGGGGAAGCAGGTTACCTTGCTTAGAGGGCAAACAACACCTGCTAGGCAACATAAACAACACTTCTTATGTAGAAGATACAGACTTTGTTAAAACTTTGATCAATTAACAATTGTAGCCCAGTCTTATGTATGTTTACTCAATATCTACTGATTAAAGTGAATTACCCTCCTAACTTATGTTCTAGGATTGCAGCTTCAGCCCATCTCTGTGACAGTTCACCTGTGTTTAGGCTTGTCATCTCCAGGCTGGAAAATCCCTGGAGATTTGGGGGAGGGGATCCCTGGGAGGGACCTCGGCAGGGTACAGTGTCATAAAGTCCCCCCTCCAAAGCAGCCATTTCCTCCAGGAGACCTGATCTCTGTCATCTGGAGATCAGCTGTAATTCCAGATCTCCAGGCCTCGCCTGGTGGTTGGCCGTCCTACCTGTTTTACGAACGGCACAGAAAGGGCATGAGTTTTCAAAGCCTTGAAACCATCTATATATTTCTCAAGTGTGGCCCCCGTCAGTGGATACCTAAATCTGCAGACTGGGGCCACACTGACACGAAACAGATTTCCCTGCAGACGTGGGGGAATGCCCAGGTTTGCAGAAAAATGTGACATCTTTTAAAAACACACCTTGGGGTTTAAGTTCCCCCCAAATAAAAAAGCATCCTCTGGGCGTGGGCAGACAATGTACTTACCTTCTTCTTCATAGCTGGCAGCGCTGGCATCCGGGAGCCTCTCTGGGCCCGGAGCAGCTTCCAGACACCGCAGCTGCTGCGGACGGGGGGGAGAGATGGAGAATATTGACAAGAAGGGGGGGGAGAAAGGGGGGGACTGTCAAGAGACTAGGCTTCTTAATCTCTTGTTCAAACCCAACCCTTTGGTTCAGGCATAAGGCCTGCAGAACATGGAAAGGTTCTTCTAAGCACCAAGGCCAAGCTGACAGCGGGAGAGAGAGAAGGGAGAATGGGAGACACTCACAGGTGCAAAGGTATCAAATCAGCCCTACCCATTTCCAGACCACCCTAAGTGGGTCTACACATTCCGTCTCATTAACACAAGGATTTATGGGAGCTTGTTAATTGGATCTGATATAACTGCAGAACACCAGATACTAATTGGCAGTCTCATCTGACCGGTTACATCACCTGGTCAGCAACACCAATGGTCAGCTGGGTTACATCACTGGGCCTACATTTGATTGGCTAGCTTAAATCATGCCAGCGTAGGCCACAAGGCATAAAGGAAAGATCCTTCATTCTACCTTTGCTGTTTGCTTGGATTAGAACTTGCCTTGGGACACTCTGATGGGGATGGGCCACAATGGCTGGACACCTATTGATGTTGGACTTTGAAACTATCTTGGATTGTGCCTTGTTAAGTATCCTCTGGATTAGAGAACCATTGTTTGTAAGTATCTAGGTTAGCTATCTATGTTTGTAATTTTATTCTCAGAAATCTTTGCTCTTTGTTGTATATTCCTGAACATCTTTTTAATAATTCACTTCAATTATATTTTGGTGTGTTCTTGAATTCGGGAGACTTCAATGTGAATCCAGTACTTTGACCCAAATTAGCTATAACTATGGAAGTAACTTGTTTTCGGAACTCAGCTTCTGAGTGTGCCTTACATAGTTTCTTGTTTAGCCCTTGGTCCCTGGTTATCTGGTAGTTAAGGGGCTGGTGGCAGCGATGCCCTGAGGTGTGCAGACTCACACTTCAGCCTTTTGTTGTGTGCGTCTATTGCCCAAACCAACCCTCTCCTGGAGCGGGCCCACCTGGTAATGCTGCTGTGGAGGTGGTGGGGTTTTGACAGGGATTGTCAGAGAAGGGGAGGAGAACAGAGGGAATTAGGTTGACTGAAGGGAAGGTGCAGATTGAAAGAGAAGGGATAGAAGGGCAAAACAGAGGGGGTAGGATGACAGATAAAAGGAGGAGGAGACTGACATAGAAGGAGTTGGGGGCAAAAGAGATAGGGGAAGATTGTCAGGGAAGGGGAAAAGGGATTGTCAGAGAAGGAGAAGTGGGCGAAAGCGGGGGGGAGAAATAGAGAGGAGGTAAGTTGACAGAGAAGGAGAGGGGGAAAGGGGTAGGGGAAAAGGCAGGGGGTTGGCTGACAGATTAAGGGAGGGGGGATTGCCAAGGAAGGAGAGGAGGGAGAAATAGAGAGGAGGTATACTGACAGAGAAGGGGAGAGGGCAAAAGAGATGGGGCACGGTTGTCAGATAAGGGGATGGGGAAAAGGGGGGGATTGTCAAAGAAGGGGGAGAAAGCGGGGTGAGGAAGATTATTAGAGAAGAGGGGGAAAGGAAGGAAGCAAAGTTTCTTGCAGGCCCCCACTTGTAAAAGAATAATATGCCAAGTATTCAGAAGACTGGGTCTTACAAATCTGTCTTCTTGATAGCACAACGGGCCTTTGCCATCAGAGGAAGGCCCTGGTATTAGAGGGGAGGTGCACAGGATCCACCCAGGTGCCAGGAAACATTTCAAAAGCAAGTTCTTACTCATTTCTTTTGCTCCAATATAGCTTTCAAGCGCTTTCAGATTTTCTTCATCCACCAACATAGCATTCTCTTCCTCTCCACTCTGAGCAAGAATGCCATGAGGAGTATTTTTGCTACCCTTGGTTTTACCTATTAAAAAAAAAGAAAAAAGAAAAACGTAGCTTTGTTGGGGGGAGGAGGGAATACTGAACATGGTTCAAAGATTGTAAGTTAAACCAAAAGAAAGGTACAAAAGTTAACTCATCAAATCCTACTGAGAACCAGGGACATTTTTCTGTTTTCATTACCATCGTTCTTAAAGCCCTTTTGGCCAGTGACAGCAGGCCAGAAATGATCAGCGATCCGTTCGCTCTACCTGGCATTCCACAAACTCTAAGTTAAATATGAATCATGCCCCTCAGCTATTGGGCCACCCTTTCAGGGATGGGAAAGATTTCTGCTATGAACCGGCATAAAATATTTCATAGTTAACAGACAGAAATCCACAAACTCATTAGGATAGTGCCAGGCCTGATACATAAAGTTTCTACGAAACTGCTGACTGGTAGCCAAATCAGTGGGGAAAAATCTCTTGTCACCTAATAGAAGAAACCAAGAAGACCACTGTGCTGAAACATCCTTCCCCCATCAACAGCTCAATGAGAGTGTGATCCAAACATCATTAAGTCCCACCGATTTAAATACAAGAGGAAAAGCACACCTTTTAAGGCTCAGTACAGCTATCACACAAAACCATGGCTTACTTCAGCACAGACAATCCAATCCTGATCACCGTAAGAAATACTGCTTTAATTTCCATCTTTCTTTTGTGTGTGTGTCACCAGAGAAGGAGATGGGACTAAACTCTGCTTTCAGAAATCACACAAAACCCAGTTAAAACTAACTATGGTCAATAAACCAACTTCTGATCTTGCTACTGAAGTTACTTTAATTCACACAATGTCTTAGCTGAGCCACTGTCTCTTCCTGAAATGAAGGGAATTTTAAAATGCCTAGCTCCTTCCCAATAGCTGCTTCATCTTCAAAGCTACCCACCCCTTTAAAATTCATGGTTCTTGTTATTTTCGATATACAGAAACAGAGAGCATGCAAAATCATACCGAAATCAAACATATCAAAGAGTCCTTGAAATGCTGGATCCGACTCTGTTTGCTCCAGAATTTCCTGGATGGCTTCCTCGGTCATGTGAATCTCACCCTGCTGTTTAAAAACAATAAAGCCACCGGTTTAGATGTAAAATCAATTTCCTCTAAAGCTAGTGCTTCTACCTAGGCTGCATTCAGATGTCACAACAAAGCAACAAGAAGCTGGGCCGGGTTGCATGCCTTGCTCCTGTCCCTCCCCCCACCTTCTCAGGCATAACTGAGGGGGGATGGATACATGAGGAGGAGGGATGCACACAAGCAACAACAGGCTGGCTTCATGAACAGCCTCAGTGTCAGCTTATCGGGACATCTCAAAACAGTGTCAGAAATACATTCCTGGAAGCTAAGACAGATGCCTTCTGCTAAAAAGAAAGCAGCCGGAATTCTTTAAACAGAATTAATCTCAGTGTTAGAAGCTGAAACGATGCTACGGATTTAACAAGTATTGGAGCCCTTTCGATACCACCCACACACCTAGAAGCAAGGCACATCAACTGCCGTACCACTGCACAGAAGTCAATATGCAAGAAAGAGGCCCATTTAGAGTCAGTCAGGGCCAGGAGGCATCGTTAGGGGAAGGCCTCGGCATTGGAGTTCTGTTGTTGGACCTCCAGAGGAACTGGCTGGCCACTGTGTAAGACAGGGTGCTGGGCTAGATGGACCACTGGTCTGATCCAGAAAGCACCACCTGCTGTGCAATTCACCGAAGGTAGATTTCAAACTATACGAGGTGGGACACACTTGAAAAGTTATTTTCAGGACCCACTTGGAAAACAACTTCATACTACTTTCTCCCTCAACAACTTAAGATGTAGGAATCTCACATCAGTTAATTAACATGTTAATTGTTTCCTTCCATAATTGTACATATATAGTGTTATTGAGCAACAGGCTGTTTTTTCATGCCTGTTTTCCCCATTATGCAGAAGCAAACCCAGATTTCCCATTGAGCCTCCTACAAGCTTCTCCCAGCTCATCCTGTTTCACCTCCTCCCTTCTGATCCCACAATCCACCTGCAAGGAAGTCACAAGTCACTTGTGGGCCCCAACTCACAGTAAGAACCACTGACTTAAGGTTAAGGCCTAAAGACCTGAAGTGAGTTTGACAGACCTGTATTTACACTCTTGTGCAACTCCCATTTCCTCCCATGAGGCTTGTGCCAGTGAAATTCCTGGTTAACTGTCTCCAACATGCAACCCCCTCCTGCCCATGGGGAAAATTATTTTGAAGCAGGTGTGGACAACCTATGACCTACCAAGCAGAACATGGCTCACATTCTGCAGCCAGCCAGACGTTTGACAGCCTTCCTCTGCAGAAAACACAGGAAATCCAACAAGATCTTTATGGGCACTGTTTTGCTTGGTGGATCACACGTCATGCAAACCCGGCTTCAAAATATTTATAATGCCTTAGTAACACTGGATACTCTTGCCCTCATGGAGCAAATTAGCATCCTTATATACATTTCATGCAATACATAGTAAGCCTCAAGACCTTACTTGGAGACCAAGGAACTCATCAATTGAAGGCTCTTGTATTATAGGGCCACTGTCTGGTTGCTTTGGAGTCTGAGAAACCGTGCCATCGCTGAAAAAGAAACACATATAAATGTATAAAATATTTAGCAGACTTCAGAAATAATGGCCATTTGGAATAGAGGTTTCAAATGAGAACTGTTACCTGCCCAAGAACTTGTTAATGTTTTCAGCCAGCTTCTCCTGAAGACATTTGTTGCTCAGAATTTTCTCCCGAGCATTTTCAATAACCATTTGCTACAAGACGAATCGGAAGTAGTCAAAGTCATTTTTTTTAATCGTTAGTAAGAAAACAACTCTTTTATCCATTCTTCTTCCTACATCTAAACTGGAACTACAAAAAAGGGGACTTGGAAATATTTATTGCGTGGCTGATTAATATACAAGTGTTCCCCACCTGCCAGCAATCTACAGGATATTCTGTACATCCAGCTCGAAGGACACTCTCACACAAGTAAACTAACCTAAAGGGAGCAAGGATCAAGACCAAGTTGCAAACCATGTGCATTTCAGAACTACGCAGCATCGAACCCAGATGGTAAAGTCAGTGCTGCAAAATCCTGTGGTGAATTCTGCCATCTAGTCAAATATTTGTCATACACCTGAAGCCTGAAGCTTGCAGCTACTCCATACATAATTCCTTACTCCTAAATTCTAAAGCACCAAATTGGATGATCTGTCCAAAGAGGAAATCAGAAATTAAGGTAAGGGTAAGGACTTTGTTATTTTGGAGGGTGTGTGTGTTTGCGACAAAGTTACAAAATACCAGAGAGAGAGAGAGACTAAATCTCACCCTAGTCTTGGTAGGTGCCACCAGTCCTTTCTGATCTATCCCAACAGCCCAGGAGGGAAAGGACAAGTCTTCCGGCTTCTCAGGGAATTAACAAGAAAAGTCAGCCCTGCAGAGTGAGACTGCAGACTGAGTTTCGAAAGACAAAACAGTTCGCTGGTACATGGTCAAGAGCCAAGGCTCTGGATAAAGGCTTTGAGGTCAATGAAGGCAAAAACCATGACAGAATAAAAATATAATTATTTATTTAACGTGCAAAAATATTTAATACAATACTAGACAGTGGAGGAAATAAAACAATTAAACCTAAGCTTTTCCAGCATAGCTAACACATAGAAGCAAGGTTCCAGTTACCATTCAGATTCATCAAAGGCAGTCAGTTCCAGCAAGACAAGATGGTCAAGGATTTAGCCCTTCCAAGCGGCAATCAAGTGGGATGCCACATCGGGAGCTGTACAACCACTGACCTGCTTCAGTGCCAAGTGGCTATTAGCCACAAGGTATAGATAGGGGCTCTGGGGCAAGTGATGCTCTGTCTTCTTGGTTCTTGGGGGGGTCAACAGTGGGAGGGCTTCTAATGTCCTGGCCCCACTGGTGGACCTCCTGATGGCACTGGTATTTCTGGCCACTGTGTGACAGAGTGTTGGACTAGATGGGCCTTTGGCCTGATCCAACATTGGCATCTCTTATGTTCTTATGTCACCCAGCTCTGCTCGTAGCCATAGTGCAAAGACTAACTAGATTTATTTATTTATTTATTTATTTATTTTGCGATTTTTATCCTGCCCTATCCAGTAGCTCAGGGCGGCTAACAGCATCATAAATACTAAAACAATTAAAAAAAAATAAAAAGGTCTCTGATTGACCCCAGGCCTATTGGACCAATCAGACACCCGACAGGTGATGTAACTCTCTTTGGTTGCTAGGCACATGACATCCAAGGATGGACAAGAGGGAGGGAGAAAAACGAAACCATACTGCAGATAGGTTACGCCCATTCCCACACAGGTGTCCACAGCTTCAGATGTTTGGAATGTGCTAACTGGGACTTGATACTCTCCAGTACTTCAGCTGTAAACAATTCGGCTAGCAAGGTCACTGTGCACTAACTGTCTCTGAACCATCTCCACTATCTCTGGGAAGATTCCTGTAGGCCTCTTGGCAGCCTGAACCAAGGATTTTATTTCTCAGAGCAAAGCAAGGAACTATTTGTCTTTACACGACATAGAAAAGGATTTGTTAAGGGAAGCTCCCGCACCCCTTTCTTTTTAAAAGTAGTCATTTTCAATCTGCTTACAGGAAAGTTGCCATCTATAAGTTCTTCAAGTGGCTCACTTTCTTCTTCCATGGGCGAACTATCTTCTTCCGCTGTGGGAGAATCCTCTGAGCTACTATTAGACGACTGTGTTCCAGAGGATATGGCTTTTTTCTTTTGGGAGTCACTGAAATATTTGAGAAGTCTGTGAGAAATGTGGAATGAACTGACACAAAAGCAACACGGACAGCATGAAGACAAGACCTTAGCAATTCACGCAAAAAGACCCTGACACCTTATTTTCCTGTTTTCAGTTGGAATGTTTTGATCTTACCAAGATCCACATCCATTATGATACTTATTATTATGATTCTGCTCAACAGTTTGCATTCTAGAGACGCAAGATTAAATGGGGAGGGTAAAACAGGGGAAGTGGCACTGCTCAGCTTCGCATACAAGACAGCGGGAAAGCAGAGAAGGATCAAGTGAGAGGTGTGAGCAGAGGATCACACGCCCACTCCATGTGATCCATCTGTGTACTTCTTTGTTCAGCTGACGTTGCTTAACTTCAAACACACAAGGAAATGCAACCCGCATCTACCTTTTTCGTTTTCCTGGAGACATCGCACTTGAGTGAAGCTTTCGTTCTTGAACTGCGGCAGAAACTAAACTGAGAGAATCTCCTGCTTTAAAAGATACCAGTGATAGTTTTCAGTAGCAGACAATGACAAGAAATGCCTGCATCCTAGAGGATACCCCCTCCCCCCAAATTCACATTGTCTTTTAAAGCAGCAACTGACTACATGGTTTTAAGTGCCTCATGAGGATTCAAACCTTCTCTTGTTTTTAAAGAAAGTGCAATCTGAAGTTGCCCCTGGAGTCTATACCGGAAAGCCACACTCATTTATGAACACATGAAGTGGGCTTATACTGAATCAGACCATTGGTTCATTAAGGACAGTACTGTCTACTCAGACTGGTAGTGGCCACAATGCCTGCTATCTGTTTCTTTTAACTGGAGATGTAGGGATTTGAAAGGGATAAAAAAGGAGGAAGAGAAGAAGAAGAAGAGAAGAGATTGGATTTATACCCCGCCCTTCACTTGGAGTCTCAGAGCGGCTTACAAACTCCTTTCCCTTCCCCTCCCCACAACAGACACCCTGTGAGGTGGGTGGGGCTGAGAGAACTCAGACAGAAACGGCTCTTTTTCAAGAACAGCTGTGCCAGAGCTTGTGACTGACCCAAGGTCACATCAGCAGGTGCAAGTGGAGGAGTGGGGAATCAAACTCAGTTCTCCCAGATTAGAGTCCGCACACTTAACCACTACACCAAACTGGCGAAAACCCAAAAGAATGAATTAAGAATCTACAAGGTTAAATGAATCCAAGTTAAAGGGCCCAGTATAAAAATAGCTAAATATGGGCCACAAATAAATAAATATCTCAATTTTCCAAAATTCATGTATTTATTACAAAATGGTTTAAAAATAATTACAGCCCGAAATATAGCCTCAATTCAGATTAAAATCATACAGTAATCTCAAACATAGACCTTATGCGACCCTGACCAAATGCGTTTCAGCCTTATGGCCTTCTTCAGTGGTCAAGCATAGTTTTAACACATTATCTCCAAACAATGCAATAATATTACAATAATTAGTCAATATAGGACCAAGCTGGGACTGTGTTCTGATCAATGTCTGTGACTCAAGGCAGAGATGTACTTAAAGAGGCCTCATTTGAAATCACCTTCTGCCCTAATCATGTACACGTATCTTGAGTGGTCATTCAATTGTGTACCTTCTTATTCTGTTCCAAAGAAAATAAATTCTAAGTGTAGTATGGAGCCAAAGCAACGCGGTAGTGTATAGAAGGGGTTTGAACCTGGGACTTCTGCATGCCACCCAGATGCTCTACCACTGGCCAATAAGAACATAAGAGACGCCAATGTTGGATCAGGCCAAAGGCCCATCCAGTCCAACACTCTGTGTCACACAGTGGCCAGAAATACCAGTGCCATCAGGAGGTCCAGCAGTGGGGCCAGGACATTAGAAGCCCTCCCACTGTTGACCCCCCCCCAAGCACGAAGAAGACAGAGCATCACTTGCCCCAGAGCCCCTAGCTATACCTTGTGGCTAATAGCCACTGATGGACCTCTGCTCCATATGCTTATCTAATTCCCTTTTGAAGCCGTCCATGCTTGTAGCACCCACCACTTCCTGTGGCAGTGAATTCCATGTGTTAATCACTCTTTGGGTGAAGAAGTACTTCCTTTTATCCGTTCTAACCCGACCGCTCTGCAGTTTCATGGAGTGCCCACGAGTTCTTGTATTGTGAGAAAGGGAGAAAAGTACCTCTTTCTTTACCTGCTCTTTCCCATGCATAATCTTATAAACCTCGATCATGTCACCCCTCAGTCGTCTTTTCTCCAAGCTAAAGAGCCCTAAGCGCTTTAACCTTTCCTCATAGGGAAAGTGTTCCAACCCTTTTATCATTCGAGTTGCCCTTTTCTGCACTTTTTCCAAAGCTATAATATCCTTTTTAAGGTGTGGTGACCAGAACTGCACACAGTATTCCAAATGAGGTCTCACCATTGATTTATATAGGGGCATTATTATATTGGCTGATCTGTTTTCAATACCCTTCCTAATAATCCCCAGCATAGCATTGGCCTTCTTTATTGCAGTCACACACTGTCTCGACATTTTCAGTGAGTTATCCACTACAACTCCAAGATCTCTCTCTTGCTCAGTCTCTGCCAGTTCAGACCCCATCAATGTGTATTTATATTTAGGATTTTTGGCTCCAATGTGCATCACCTTGCACTTGGCCACATTGAACCCCATTTGCCATGTTGACGCCCACTCGCCCATCCTTGACAGATCCCCTTGGAGTGCCTCACAATCCTCACTGGTTTTCACCACCCTAATTGGCCCCTCCCCACTACTTGCAATTCAGATGGAAGTTTTTAAGCGCTCTCCCCTGCCAATATTAAAAAAAAACAGATTTGTATCAAGTCTCACTCACTGTTATTGTTGCTTCCCTGTGCTGGGGGCTGGTCTGCAGGTGCAGAGCTTGATCTTGTCGGAGCCTGGCTTGGCGTTGCAACTGGCTTAAGAATAACCTGAGTGGCTGTCATTGGAACAGTGCTCAGCTGTACCGGCTGAAGTGACACACAAGATGCTCCCAAATTGGAAGAGGCTGACGGCTGGAGACACTTCTGCTTCTTCAGATCTGCAATTGCACTTCTTGTGCGGCCTAAGAGAAGGTTTGAAATAAAACTATTTATTTACTGTATTTAAATTAGCAAAGCAGGCATCTCAACAGACAGCTAAACTACACGATTGTCACTCTGAAGACCTCACAGTGGAGCTGAAGCAAGACCAGTTGCTCTTTTACCTCTGAAGCGATTTTTCAGCCAAATCAGGTATACAATTACAGTTCTGCTGCCAACTGGATTAGGTGCTAACCATAGAGAGAGAGTGGGGCACTCAAGACGTAGATTATATCATTGTGGAATTACACACAAACTTCAGGGGCACTGAGTGACCTTATTGCCTGGACCCCTTCCAGATCGAGCTAACAGTTGCAGTTCCCAACACTCCCACCTTTCGGAACTTGAACTCTGAAAAGTTTACCTTGCCTGTCTGCTCGGTAAGGAGAAGGGGACAAAATCATGATAGATGTTAATGACAGAGAAATGTTCGAAAAGATGTGTGTGGGCGGGGTGTGTGTGCACCAACACATGCCCTGCTCCAGCATTAGGCCCCATCTCTAATGGGGTAGGAATCTTATGACATGTTAAGAATGAAATACTAAACTTGCATACTTAGAAGTAAGCCTTCCTGAAATCTCTGGAACTTCCTTCCAAAGAAGTGTGGTTCGGATTAGGCAAAGGCTTACAAAGAGTAAATGCATAGCACGTACAGTCTATCATAATTTGCCAATACATACCTCTTTGGTGAACAGAAAACGCATTAGAATTCTGCATGCTCCTGGAAAAAAAGTCAAACAACATTAGAATACACTATACCATGAATGCAGGAAATGCTTTTAGCTTCACATGTATTAGACGACAGGGACATAATTTTGTTTGTGTAAGTCATGAAGCAAATGCAGAAACAAATTCAAAATTAGAGCAATGTAATTTTTTCATGAACTTCAAGTCTCTTGGATAAAAGCCATGAATTTCAATACACAAAATAAAACAACTGCTATGTATGCCATCATTAGATTTAATTCTGAATGTGGACAAAAACAAGCAGATAAAAAACAGGCAGAGTGCAGCCATGTATAGAGAATGGAGATTTCCCTACAAGCCTAGGTGAGAGAGATCACCTGCCATCTTGGGGGTTGCCTAGCCACTCTCAAGGTGCACTGGTAGAGGCGAAGACTACCTGAAGGGAAAGCAGGGATTAGGCACTGAGTGCTGGTGATGTTTGGACTGGGAGGAGGCCGATGGCCAGTCTGGTAGTCGGCAGCTGCCAAAATCAGTGGACGCTGCTGGGAGAGAGGCAACAGGTGTTAAGCTCTGGTAATGTCTGGGTCAGCAGGGAGCCAGTGACCAGTCTAGTGTCATCAGCCCCCCCCCCCAATCAATGGGCACTATTGGTGGGGGGGCAGAAGGTTGAATCCGGAGGCTCCCTCCCAGTCCAAACACAGCTGACACACACACAGCACCCACTTCCCAGGCCACCACTTCTTTCCCTCCTGGTAGACAAAGGAAAGAGGGTGCTGTGGATGGGCAAGAGGGAGGCAGGGAATCTGTGTTGGGAGGAGGTGGTAGAAGGAAAGAGACTGGAGGAGGAAAAGGAGACACTGGGGTGAGGGGGAGTGGAGAAGGATGGCTGGGGCGGGGATCAGAATCTGGAAGAGCCCAGAGACGAAATTTCCATGCAAGTTTCTCACAGGTCCCTCTTGTATCTCTCCTTATATATCATTCTGTTTTGGTCATGGACTCCCCTGAACATTCCAACAAGCTTCCAAATCAGTTGGCTCCATGATCTGTCATTCAGAGGGTCTCCCTTTCCACTGGCTGCGTTGCCTGAGTCCTGCCCCCAACATTCTAAACAGTTTGCTGTTCCTCTCCCCCCCATAGCCAGTCAGAACACAGAGGTCATTTGCATATGTGGCCTTATTGGCCTTTGCCTCTAACATTCTAAACAGTTTGTTGTTGCTGTTCTGAGGTAAAATGTGTTTTGAGGTAAAATACATTTCCCCTTAGTGCCTGTTGGGAGAAACCATTGTTGTCAATTTCCAGGTGAGGGCTGCAGATCACTCAGAATTACAACTGCTTTCCAGATGGCAGAGATCAGTTCCCCTGGAGAAAATGGTGGACTCTGTGTCCTTATATCCTGCTGAGATGGCCCCTGTATGACAGCCAATGTGACGTGGCACTCAGGGCTTCAGAGCACAGTACTGGTGGGGTGTGTGTGGAAAGCTGAAGAGTGAGGGGAAAATAAAGGTAGGTTGAGGATTGGCTGGGACGGAGATAGGGTTGCCAACTCCAGGTGGGAAATTCCTGGATACTTGAGGATGGATCCTGGAGAGGGTGAAGTTTCAGAAGGGGTGGGACCTCAGACAGATACAATGCCATAGACTCCACCCTCCAAACCAACCAGTCCCTCCTGGGGAACCATTGTTGCCAATCTCCAGGTGGGGGTGGACACCCTGAGAAAAATGGGCTAGTATTTCCATTCAAAACAAGTTACCTGATCTGAGACAGTGTATAGTCTAACTTCTTCCACAGGGATGACATCATTACAGGAACATCATGTGTAGTTTCTTTTTTTAAAAAAAGATCAAACACAAACTTACATCAGATAAAGGAAGAAATGAATCCAAAGAAATCCAACAAGAGCAGACCTCACAAAATGAAGGGACCTTTACCACCTTCCCCTTTTTCCACTGCAGTCACCTGGGCTCCCTGAAAAGCTGCTTCTCATTATTAGGCAACTCTGAGGAACAACGTGGGGGGGTGGTTTGCAACAGGAAGGAGGAACAGGCAGAAATCAGTCTCCTTTGTGAATTAGTGGAAGGGGCATTTACACTTGGGCAAACCAATAAATGGGATAATGCTTACTACCATAAAGCACTGCTCCTTTAGCTTTATCTAAGTTGAGGAGAGAGGTGAAAATCTGAGGAATGTATTCACTAAAAAAAGAAATGAGTCTCATTAGCTTCACTGGAGCTTACTTCCTAATAAGCAAGATAAATTCTGCATCCTCAGTGACTAATGCATGTACGGGACCTTCTCAAATGTTGGGTTCCTTCTATTTAAGTTCTATTCTGTCAGCAAACACCATTGTGGTGCTACGTGGCCCACTGCTACCATTTAAACAAATATGTTTTCTGCATCTTCCTAAGAAATTTATGCATACTAAATATGTGATCTTTTTTTCACAACATTTTGATTTTCACAAAAGAGGCAGCATACCAGGGCTTAAAAAATGGCATCACTTGTGGAAGCAGAAAGCATATTATTAATCTGCATTATTGTAGCCACAAAATGACAATCCACACCCAGTTATACAGCAAACTTTCATTTAAACCTATTTATAGCTTCCTTTGTCAACTTTACTCGAATAAGTTGGATGCAACTACTTTGTCTCACTTGCTTGTGACTTTGGGCCAAGTACAGGAAAAAGGGGAAAAAATAATCACGCAAGAGGGGTAAGTTCAGAATCCAAATAAGCCAACACCAGGCAGCAAATATATTCCTTGCATTGCCCTAACAGCTCTCCCTACTTACCTTTTGTTTTCATTACTATGTACTCATTCAGGATGGTAGTCAAATTTTTTCCAAACAGGGACTGCAGAAGAGAGAACAGTATTGAAGCTAAAGAACTTCGAGTAATAACATACTGCAAAAGACCAGCTCAGCAAAAACACGGTGACCACAGAGACATCAGGGATCAAAAATCCATCAAACTGTTATCATGCTGACTCCATTTTCATGGTAGGAAATAAAACTCTTAAAACAACCTCGGGTTTAATTAAACCAGATTCACTTGGAAAATTTCATTGTTGCATGCAAGGGTAATAAAAATGGTACAAATACGCACTCACCAATAAACAAGCTGGAACAAAGCCTTCCCCCGTACAGTGCTCTGCATATTCTTTTAAATCTGAGCTTTCCACTATAAATGTTCGGCATGTGGTTAAAAGTTTTTCTTGCTGTAAATATCCTGCAACAGACAAATCAAGAGCTTCTGCTACATCGTGTGTCATTATGCCTAAGGAAAAAGCCAAAGGGTCATATACCAAACTGCTAATTTATGGGCTGAGTTCAGACATGGTGTAAAACCATTGTTTAAATAACCTTACTACAGCTGGCATAACTAGGAAGGGGAGCCACCCCACTGGACTCAAACTTTGCTCTGCTGCTTCAGACCAACACAGCTATCCACCTGAACCCATTACCTATTTCTAGGGTCCGTCAGATCAGCACCTGAAGCTAGAATTTGATGTTTCTTAACCAGTTAGTCTTAACTATGATTTTGCATGATTGACAAGTGCAGGAATTCTAGTCTAATCCTTGCTTGTTCCCCCAGTGATGCCCTCCTCGGCAGCAGAGAAAAGGAGATGGAAACAGTACTTGTTGAGGCAAACCAGGATTTGAATTGTCATGTGTGAGTTAAGTCCTGAGTTTATAGACCAACCCGTTAAAATAAACCACAATCGAGTGTGATATTTGAACTAAGCCGTATGTTTTCAGAAGTGCAATCCCATGAAATGTTATGAGCAGTTTAATATTGAAGAAAACAGAATGAAAAGCTGATTGTTCCATAACATGTGAAATGGAGCCATGTTCTTTTAGATACTTTTAATTTATACATTGCTTTTCTCCTCAATAGGGACCTTCTACTCCATTTTATGCTCATAACAATTCTATGAGGAATGTTACACTGAAACTGTGAGACTGGCTCAAGGCCACTCAGAGTGGGGATTCAAACCTGGGCCTGCCAGATCCAAGACTGACACTTCAAGCCTACACCACACTTTTGGAGCAACGCTAAGAATCATATTCCAAGAACTGAAAACTGTAAGTTAACCAATGACAGGACCACCCCCAGCACATCACTTTATTTACATATTGAAAATGCACTATGTCTCCAGCAAAAAGCAATGTCAGACCCTTTTTCAGTCTCTTCCTAACGTTTGATGGAGAAGTGAGATCAGACCTCTCTGCCCTAGAAAGCAGATGAGATTTCAATGGATCACAGGCATGTAGAACCACAGGGTGATTTATAGCGAAGGAACAACCTGGCAATCAATTACGTGACTAGATTCTATGCACGTTGGATTTTCGTAGGAACATCCTATTTCAGTGTTTTGTCCATACAATATCCTGCAGTCTTGCTGGTGTGGCAATGCAAGTGACCACTGGCGGGAGAGGTGCACTCCCTCGATTCCAGGTAATGGAGAACGTTGTTTCATCCAGGCCCAAGCTAGATCCATACTGGGAAAACCTGACTGTATATAATGGTATATACATTAATCGTCTCGGACCAGATACTTCAAATCTCTTCCTTTTCAGAGGGGGGGAAAACCTATAACAAGAAGTATGACTTCTTCACTGTTTCTCTTATTCTACTGTCCCCTGGGGAGGAACCTGACAATAGCGCTGGCAAGCAAGAAAGCCAGAGTTCAGCACACAAGCTGGCTGTTTATTTTTAATTGAAGTATAAATATGGACATTATTTTCAGACTTTGTTATTAGTTAGCTAGTTTCATTTCCTTCTTTGCAGGGATCATTCTCTTCTCACTAGACACTAGACCTGTACAAGATTGTTTTTGACATTTCATTTTTACGGAGACTGGGGACGGCTTTGTTCGACTCCACAAAAAACGAGCAAACCTGAAGTGAGGGAACTGGGATGGACAATAGCTGTGACAACCAGTTTTCATTAGCATGCAGTGCATTGTGCAGAAAACCAACATGAAGTGGAGGGACGTTCAGCTGTTTAACCAGGTTTTATTTTAAAATTTCTATACCACCTTTCCACCCAGTTCAGGGTAAACAAGGCAGTAAAGCCCACAAATTAAAAAGCATTTAAAATACAAATACACAGAAGTATTTATTTGCAAGAAAGCTGTAAACATTTAGAAAAAAACTGACTCCATCGACAAAAAGAAAAGTCACATTAAGCTGAGGAACTCAGTCATGCCTTTTGTCTTGACTGGATAATCGCCTTCCTCACAAACTGTCCATTTATTAGCTCTCATCCAGCCTCTTACGATCTCAAAGCAGTGATTCAGGACATGTCCTACCTCACCTGAGAAACAGAGCAGACTACACTGCAAACAGACCGCATGCAGACTACACTGTACTCCAAATCCCAGATGACCTTGCTTGACAACTTCACGTTAGATATTAAATGGTATAGTGGGACAAGATGAAACCCCATAGCACAAATGCCACAGTGTCAAGCAAGAGTTTCTCAGCATTACATTCTGAGAGGTAGGAGAGGTAGGAGCAGAACTTCTGGGGCTCAGTGCCTCTCTATCTCAGCCAGTCATACAAGAAGGGAACCATGGTTGATGTTATCAAGAGCTGCTGGGAGGTCCAGAAGAATCAATAGAGTTGGCTATAAGTTGGGGTGATGGCAGTTTCCATACAAAACCAGATCTGAAACCAGACTGAAAGAGGTCTAGGCAATCAATCCCCTCCAAATACGACTGGAGCTGAACAGCCACCACTAGCCTGAGCACACTGCCCCAAAAGGAGATATCTGCTACAAGCTGATAAGTGTTTCAGCCACTCAAATCCAGAGAAGGTTTCATCACCATCTTCTTCAAAGTGGTAATTCCACCTCCCACAAGGAAGCATTAACCACAGATAAAACACAGATCAGCAGCTCCTGCTGGCTTACTATTAAATGCCAAAACAGGCGAGGGCAGAGAAGTTGTAGGCTGCACACCTCCAAACAATCTGTCCACATTTTCTATATGCAGCAATTAGAACTCATCCACACAAGTGACTTGACAATGCAGTGTCTCCATTCACAGAGTTACAGAAAAAGTAGTGCCTAGTTCAGGATAGGATCCATAATAATAGAACTCTAGGGGCACTCAACAAAATTGTTGGAGAATAGGTACAGGACTAACAAAAGGAAATATTCCTTTAAACAACGAGTAATTAAACTGTGAAATTCACTGCCAGTGGAGGTAGAAATGGCTATGAGTGTAGCTGACTTTAAAGGGGGATTAGGCAAATTCATGGAGAAGAGGTCCAACCAATGATAACCAGCCATGGTGACTGAATATACAGACTCCATATACAGAGGCAGTAAACCTATAAGTGCTAGTGCTGAGAGGAAGCATCAAGAGAAGGTCTTGGCCTCAGTATCCTGTTGGTGTGGTCCTCCAGAGCAACTGGTTTGTTACTGTGTTAAAGAGTATGCTGGACTAGATGGACCAATGGTCTGATCCAACAGGCTCCACTTATGTTCTTATGACCTCCACCCATGAGGATTTTACAAGCCATAATGAGCCTATATTTCACGTGTTAATGGCTGGTAAATGACACAGGAATAACTGAAAGATCCTCCACCACACCTATCCAATTCTAAATCAGAACTGAACCCCGAATCCCGTGTGTGACCTGCCATATGGGTGGGTGACTGTATGTATTGAGACAGCAATACATCTTCCAAGGAAGCCCTGACATCTTGAGCTACCCCAGGTAAAAAGCACTTACATGCATGTGTGCAAAGTGTTGTCAAGTCATAGCCACCTTGAGGTTTTCATGGCATGTGACAATCAAAGGTGGTTCTGCATAGCTATCCTAGGAAAACTTCATACTCTCCAATCCAAGTACCAAGCAGGGCTGACCCCGCTTAGCTTCCAAGATCTAAGGAGATCAGGTTAGCCTGGGCCATCTCTGCTGGCAAAAAAGCATGCATGAATTTGAATCACAGAACTTTTCACCTGCCTGGATAATTCTGTGTAACACTAATTCCACTTAGCATTTATGTACAGTGTTGAAAGGACTTCCCCATGTATCAACTCATGTTGCATATTAACACCCTACAAAACTGAAAGCCAACATTATTATAGATTTATTTATTTCATGGAACTTTTTTACCACCCTCCCTGCAAAGTTGGCTCGGGGGCAGTGTACCACAGATTCGTACAAAAAAAATGAGTTAAAACAATCTAAGAACACCAAGCCGTACAGTCCTAACATCTACATGGCTCCACAATACAGAATTTTTAACCCCCAACTGAAAGAGTGAGAGCGTCTTGCTTTAAGCCAGCTGTTAAATTCACAGCAGAGACATGAGATCTGAAGAGGGACCCGCCCAGGCCACTGACTACACACTATCTCCCATCATGGATGGTGGAATCTTCTAGCCGCACTTCCTTTGTGGTGTACACGATAACAAGTTCTGCGCTTACTGCTGTCAGACAAGATATCTTATCTGAAATAGCCCACTGCATGACATCAGACATCTAATAACTCGGGGTTTCCGACTGTCCATACCGAGAGATAAGATGGGTGCGTGTGAGAGAAAGAGGCTGCAGAAGAAATTAAAGTACCCACACCCCAGAAGGAAATCGTCATTCTATTTTCTTTTCTTTCCTCCGAGAAGGAACAAAACCCACAACCGAGTCTGGCCACACACACACCCAGACACGTCCCACCTGGAGGTCCCGAAAAAACAAATACAAACGCGAAGTGGGACAAACGGGGAAGAGCCCAGGGGCCATTTTCTCAGCAGCTCCCTCGAGAAGGGGAGGTTTTCCCCGCCTGCTTACCCAGCACCAGGCGAGCCACGTCGGAGGGCAGCAACATGGTGAGGACGGGAGGGGGGTTGCCCCCCCCCCAGTGGAGCGACAGTGGCAGCCCCCGCCGAGGCAGTCCTCGCGCCCGCCCCGCCTTCTCGAGCCTCCCGATCGCAGAAAGGCGCCTAAAGCTCTCCACAGAAGCGACTCTCACTCTTCGCTCCGCCCAGCAACTTCCGGTATCAGAAGTAACAACAAACTTTTTTCCGCTTCCTGTGAGAATGGCGGCAGAGGCAGAAGGAGGAGACCGCGGCGCACATCCCACAGAGACAGAAGAGTCGGAAACTCTAGAGAGGCGTGCAAACATGGACTTCCGGAAAACCCTTGAAGCGGCTGTTGGCCACGAAGGGCGGCGAGTTGCGTCGCCTCTATCCCTTGTCCTCTCTATGGTGAAAGCCTTCCATGCCTGGCGCTGTACACGGGGAAACCGGTTCAGTTTTGGACCGGAAGTGTCCTTTTACTTTCTCTTTCTGTGCCTCTATGGGAGCCCCGCCTCCACCCGCACTTTCTCTTTGCGCCTGTTGTGAGAAACGGTGAGGCATCGTGGCTGGGGGCGCAGCTGTGGCCGAGGCGACGGGAGGGGGCGGCGCGCGCTTAAGCGGGGGAGGGAGCCGCGCGGGTACCCTGCAGGTCCGCTAACCGTCCCTTGCGCGATCCAGTCGCTCCTCAGCCTTTACGGTCCCTCCGCCCCTCCCGCCTCCCTTGGTCGCTCTCTCTCGTGCTTGTGAATGGTTTGTGTGCTTCTCTGGGTCTCGTCTGAATTTTGCATAAGGATGTCCGAGTACAGGATGGGATGGCATTTGGTGGCCCTTAGGGTTGCCAGCCTCCAGGTGGGACCTGGGGATCCCCCGGAATTACAGCTCATCTCCAAGCTACAGAGATCAGTTCCCGGATGCTATGGAGGGTGGACTCTATGACACTGTACCCCACTGTCCTCCCCAGGCTCCACCCTCAAATCTCTAGGAGTTTCCCAACCTGGACCTGGTGGCAACCCCAAGTGATCTGCAGACTGTGGAGATCAGTTCCCCTGGAGGAAATGGCTGCTTTGGATGGTGGACTCAATGGCACTGTACCCCGCTGAGGTCCCTCCCCTCCTCAGATCTCCAGGTGTTTCCTAACCCAGAGTTGGCAACTCTATTTTTCCTTCATATTCTCACTACCTGCATCCAAGGAAGCGGGCTGTAATCCCCAAAACCATATGGCAAAATGTTTTGGCATTTAAGTCGTGCCACACGACTCCCTCCGCGTTCTTGTTTGCAGCAAAAGACCGACTCAGGTACCCGTCTGGAGTGCTCTCAGCCCTTCTTTTGTTTCCCTGCATAACGTTTTTCTCCTAAGCTAGGGATGCCAAGCTGCCCCTATTCAGAGCTGCCTCCCTGACAAGGTTGCATCCCACCTTGCAGAACTGAACTACTTAAACACAGTATTGGTCAGTAGAGAAGAGCAAGAGTCCAACAGCACCTTAAAAACTAACAAAATCCGTGGCAGGGTATGAGCTTTCCTGAGTCACTGTTCACTTCTTCACTTCATTGGTCAGGTTCAGTGCGGAAAATACATTTGGAGATGGGGGGATTGTCACAATGATTATTCTTTTTGCGTATACCTACAGTGAAATGGAATTGATACATCTCAGTTCAAACACAGGAGAACGGGGGAGTTAAAAACAAAACAGCTGCATAGCAGCTTAGAGACAGCCTGATTCTAAGCAACTCTAATTTTGTTCAATAGGATTTAGCCCTAGGTGAGCCCTAGATAAGTCTGTGTGTCTTTCTTACATCAATTGATTTCCCTTCTGCATTTCTCCCTGCTTTTTCTTTAAAGTCCTGCTTCTTGCTGTCATTTTCCTCCCTGACCGTTGTCTTCCTGCACTCCACAACTGAAATGTGGATAACTCTTGACTATTCTTTGTGGCATCAGCTGTTACTTGAAAGTTACTCTAGGGTTTATCCAACATACTGGGTCTTTGAGCAGGATATGTTGACTATAGCCTGGCTGGAATCTGTTTTTGTAGCTCAGTTGTGAAATATTTAAAGAAGCAAATGCCGTGGAACATGTGCAGAATGCATTTTCCCTCTCACTAATTAACTGCACATCACCCATTTGACTCAGCACAAGACATGGTTTCCATGCTTTTAATTTTTAGCCCTGTCACAAACTGTGGAAACTGGTCACCGTCTTCCATACTTTCGTTGTTGCAGCCTTTGGGGAAAAGTATTATTTACACATTTTTTTAAACTTTGTACATGAAAGGATAGTTTTGCCAATGGGCACATGAAATTTAAAGCTTCTGTATACTTACATATCAGTCTATTGTTATTCTGGTTTAGCTTTTAGTTTTTTAAGAATACATAAAAATTCAACCTCAAGTTAAAAAATGTAATTGACAAAGTGTAGCTTCTCTGCCTTCTTTTTCCCCATTTTAAATTTTTATTAAGTATTATGAAGGGGAAGAGGGTAGGGAATAGGAAAAGGGTACGGAGCATAAAAAAAAAAAGAATAATGCTTATAGTTACTTCTACATACAATGTTACATTATTAGTTCTACTTATACAATCAGGTATATCTTTGTATTATATCTATTCACTTAAGACCATACATTTTTAAATATCTGAATTAGCTAGGATATTGCCATTATATTATATAAGCATTCTATAACCTCTTCAAATTTATTGGTCATATTTGAACTATATTAATTTCATATCCACGGATTCTTATATTCAAGCTCATATAACTTTCTAATCCTTTACTACCTTATGCATACTATTAAAGGTCCCTAACATCCTACTATTTATTAATAGTCATTCTCCAATACAACTCCTAAAAACAAAACATATCTAATTCAGATCTCGATATTACATAAAATTATCTAAAATTAACATATGCAACTGCCTTATAACATATACTTTCATGACATTTAATTTTGATTCACACAAACACAAAGGATTTTTTAAACTTAAAATAAAATCATGCTTAAAACATTAGCACTCCTGCACTATTTTGTTTATTTAACAGTGTCTGATAACTGACACCTTTTGCTTTCAATTATTGCATCAAAATGTCTGTGCTGTTGCAATCTTGAGTATGCTGTTCAGGTGTGTATCTGTAAGCTGCAAACCTACGATGATGCAGCAGCAGCAGAACTGGAAGAAGAAGCAGAAGACAGCCAGTTTCACTGCGGGCCTGATAGAAACCCTGGGGGGGGGGCTGATCCAGCCCCCGGGCCGCATGTTTGACACCCCTGCTTTATAGCTTCTTCCAGCAATAGTCCTTCTCTGAGTCAAATTTAACTTCAATATAGTCCAAATACGTTCCAAAATAAATTCTTGATTCTTTATAGAGTCACAGTCAGCTTATAAACGTAATAAAAATATCAGTTCCACTTTTCAATTTACAACCAGTTTAAATCAGTAGGGTGTAGCACAATCAAAAATCTTCAAATAATTATATTCTCTTTTGAATGTTGTTGTTGAATGTTGTTTCCTTTCGTTTCGTTCCCTTCTCTTTCTGGACTTTTTAACAGTCTGATTAAATCCTCCACTCTATTTCACCAGATAGTTCGAACCAGAGAAGAAAAGAAAACTTACTTGCAGAATATTTTCTTGTAGTTGAGATGTAGGGTTGCTTGATGTAGAAGAAGGCTTAATTCCAATTCTTGAACAATCCGGTAGTCACAACTTGTTGCCAAAATGGCAATTGCAATGGCTGAGGCTTCAGGGCAAACGGGAGTCTCCAGATCTAAGCCGCTGCTAAGATTTGGCTCCCCGTCACACCCTCTGCTTCAGGAACCCCTCTCCTGGGGTCCCCCTAGGAGTCCGGGGAACCTAGACTCCTCCAAACCGCGCAATTCAAGTGGCCACTGGAGCGAGCTCCGTGGTTTCCCCCAATCTCATTGTGCTGAAACCGGAAGCTCCAATTCTCTGCCTTTTAATAGTTTGTCTTATGTTCATTATATCTAAATATCTTTTAATCCTTTAGATTACAGGGCAAATTGTTAGACCCACTAAATTTATACTGTACCTATCAAGATTTTAATCCTCCTTAATTTCTGTGGATTAAAATTGAGAGTGGATTAGACATGTGAATTAGGCAAACAAACACAAAAACTGTGGCAGTATGGTCAATTTGCAGTTAAGAACAGAAGCTGAAAATGGCTAAGAAAATGAGATTTTAAGTCTCATTTTGAATACAAATTTGTGTTTTGGCTTTGGTGCTAGAAGCATGACTGTGCTTCAGTAAATAGCTGCACACATTGTAGGGTGCAAACAGATCCAACATTCTTGCATCAGCAGGGCTAATTCTGAAGCCCCCTCAATATATTTATTGAAATGTACCTTTCAGGATCAAGCTCTGGATTTGCAGCTCTGTGAGTGCAGCAAAGGTTGGCTGTGTGTGGTGTTGACTAGCAAGGATCTGTGGTATCTTCAAGAAACCTGCCACCTCCCAGTTTCCTGAACATTTTTGCACTAAAATAAACATACCTTTATTGAATTAATCTTATTGCTAATTAAACATAACTTTTTTCTGATTAATATTTAACAGATGTACAGATGAATAGATATTTTATATGCAGGTGTTTTGTACATAAAGAAGTGAAGGAATCTGACATCCTTCCCGAAGCAAGTATGGATAGGCAGGTTTGACAGCCGGACCTGCACTCAGCTTGCACCCTTTGAAGTTTCAATTGTGAGCTGTGAACTGGGATGCTACATTCAGGTAGGATATTTGTCCTGTGCGGTGCAATATTTATCCTGTTACGTGATGGGCAGCCCAAAACAAACTGTCATTTCAGAACTGCCATTTATGTACCCATTGGCAAAACTATCCTTTCATGTACCAAGAAGAACTTTATTATGAACAAAACAGTACAAATTTCAAGACCGGAAATGCCAACATTAAAGTCATTCAAAACTGACAAAATGCAAAAGCTGAAGCATTAATTACAAACTAAGTATCACTGTGAAGTATCATCTAAATGCCTAAAAGTAACTGAGGAACCAGCTACATGAGCTTCCCCTTTTTTGTTGGCTGCCTTCTTTACAGTTTAGGATCAGAGCTCTTATTGACAGCCGGAACCTATGGATTCTTTTATTAATTAGTCATGACAACTCAGTGGAATGTCCACATATAGATGTTGCAGCCTGTATTCAACCATCTGTGCAGAGAACAAAAGAGTTTTCCTGCAGCCCCTTTTAACCCCGGGGGGGGGGGAATCATTCCAGTGGTTGCGAGAATAGCCCCATGGTTCAGGAGGCTGGAGTGAGGAGGGACAAAGTGATGAAATTGCTCTTCAGTCTTCTGCAGCTCTGCTGAGGGGAAGGGCAATTTGATGCCCTTTCATGCCTCATCCCCCAAATCACGACTGTTCCTCAAAGTGGGTCTTTCTGGGGGTTGGGAAGGACGGCAGGAACTGAGAAGACTGCCAGAAAACTCAGTGTGCCTTCTGTATATGGATAGTGTACAAGCCAGTGTACCTCTGAATGCTACATATGGGGGAGGGGGCGGCAAACAGCAGGGTCAGACTGTCCTGTGGGCACTTGGAAACATCCCCCTGGTCCCTGTTGGCAGTTCTTACATTCTAGCAAAAAAAATGTGCCTGTATTTCCATTCTTAGGTCCAAACTGCGTATGCATCCACAACTGAGCCATGAGCCTTGCACTCCATGAACTGCTGCTTTGCTGCCGTCAACTTGAAAATGACAAAGCTACCGAGAGAAAGGTAAACTTACCCTGACCCTTCTTTTTACTGCACAACAGTGAAACTCTGTATCTATTAATCCTCCCCATTAACTGTGTTTTCAGAAAGAAATTGAAAAGTTCAAGCGTCTCATCCGTGACCCTGAAACCATTCGGCAGCTAGACAGTAATTCTGATTCCAGAGATGTGAAACAGATGAACTGGGATGCTACATTCAGGTAGGATATTTGCCTCGTGTAGTGCAATATTTATCCTGTTAGGTGATGGGCAGCCCAAAATAAACTGTCATTCCAGAATTGCCATTCAGCTGAAGGGTTAGTGAGGATCAGATCTATGTGCATGTGTACACTGGTCATGGGTTGCATGCGCACGTGCCACAGAGCACATGGATGAGGGAAGTGTTACCCAGTTCTGATTCTGGGTTGAAAGAAAAGTACTAAAAGCATTACAGCACCATGAGGTAGGATTAGTGAGGGTGTACGAGCTAGTTTCCCCCACCCATGTAGTCTGTTTAAAATCTATATAAAGAGAGAGAGCCCCTCCTTTCCCCATCTTTAGATGTAAAGATACATGGATCCCCCTTTTCCCAAATTTCATTGTAGCTTCAATAATACTTAGCATTTATGTGACATTTTGGAATATTTGAAGTATTTGATGCACATTGGTAATTCATACAGAAATGCTGTGATGGTATTTCACCCCATATTGTGGACGGGAAGCAGGAACTGAGTGCTTGTAGCCTGCCTGAGTTCATGGTAATAGTTCACAGTGTGTTTGTGACAGAGAGGAGGTGTGGGCCTGGAGCTTTCTGTTTCACAACTCATTTTCTAAGCTACTAGTTCTTTGGGGCTGGAATGTTCCAAAAGGAAGTAGGAATGTCTCGTTATTGCAGCCTTGAAAATAGATATCCAGAGAGGCCTGGTCTTTTCTGCCGGCTGTTGTTCCTGTTTTGCCCCTCTGGCTGTTCCGTCTCCCCCTTGCTGAGTGACAGTAATGATCCCAGCAATGCTAGAGCTGCCCTGTGCTTTTCCAGCAGGAGAAATGTAGCGTAGTGCTTTCTCGGCCCATTCTGCTACTTGCCCAAGGACAACTACTACTTGGCTTTCCTAAGTGGCAAAGGTTGTGGCTGTTTTTAAAAATTATTTTTATGTGCCTGTGGAGGAGCAGGAGGGTGGCAGTGTCCTGTGTGAGATTTCACCATACCTGGGTGATCTAAAAGAGGGCTGCTCTCATTATTTGATTAACTTGCGTGCTTATGGAGGGCATTTTAAATTTTGTCTTTGAAGGTTTCTGCAGAAATATATCCAGAAAGAGACAGAGAGTGTCAGATTAGCAAAGCCCAATGTCTCTGCCTCCACACAAGCAGCAAGACAGAAAAAGATGCAAGAGCTCAGCAGTCTGGTCAAATGTTTCATCAGATGTGCCAACAAAAGTTAGTGGTGTTCATGTAAACATTATTGGGAATGTTGCGGTTCAGTTCATAAACTCTACTGCAGAGGTGTCAAACTCATTTGTTATAAGGGCTGGATCTGACATAAATGTCACTTTGTCAGGCCAGGCCATGGTGTGCCATAAAATGCAATACCAGGTACCAGAGATATAAACTTTATAAAGGAGAGCAGCTGGTAAGCTCCGAATTTGTGTGTCCTCACTGCAAGGACCCATGAACTGGGAGGGGGCGTGCAGAGGAAAACCCACGTGGGCAGATTGTAGACCCAGCAGTGCAGCACTGGATCGACATTGTCGTGCCCCAGCAGAGCATAATCTGCACACACACACCCAAGTGCAAACACTGATCCCTGCGGCCATCTGGGACAGCATCCTCGGAGCTGCAGGCTGAGTGGAGAGGTATGAATGTGGCTGCAGTGGCTCCCAACTTACCGCCGGCGGCAACCTCCAGCGGGCACCAGCAGGGAGCTCCAGGCCCCGCCCTCCCGCACCTCACCCGGGGGGATGGCGGCCCCCCCCCCCCCCCCCCCCCAACAGCCTCATGTTCCCTCCCTTGCACCAGTTCACGGGCCACATAGCAGTCCTGGACGGGCCTTATGTTTGACACCCCTGCTCTACCACGTTGGTGTTTTGCTACTCCATTCAGCAAAGTTAAGAGCCTTTCTCATGTTTATATTCTGCTTTTGCACAGGAGCACCTAGGTTAAAATGCCAAGAGCTTCTGATTTATATCATGAGCACAGTGAGCAATCCATCAAGTTGTGCTGTGCATGGAACTGACTGTAGCAGCATACTGCTAAAGGATATCCTTGCAGTGAGGAAATATTGGTGTGAAATATCTTCAAAACAGTGGTCAGGTTAGTAGGTGTCATCTTTTCTCATTAAGGCTGCCATGCTATGTACGCTTCCTGGGGAGTTAACCCTAAGAATATGTTTCAGAGGAAAGCTTCACAAAGTCAGTCAAAAAGTAAGTTTACAAATGCCTACCTTATTTTCCTTGGATAGATAATAGTTCATTTATCAAATACACAGATCTGTTTTTGATTTATTCTTGTGTCACAGAATATCACAGCTGTTCAGCTTTTCTGACACTTTTATCACTTTGCCAGCAGGAGCTAGTTTTGAAAAACTTTTAGGAATAAGTAGGCGAAAGAATGGGAATGGTTTAGTTGTGTTGTCTGAGTGGATAAAAGTCTCGTGCATTGTCAAATAATTTGAATTTGGTTTACCCCTCTAGATCTTCAGAACCTGTACTGCGAATTGTTTCTCAAGCCTTCCAGAGATATTAACAAAGTTTTGGTGGCTAGAATAATTTACACACTGACCAGAGGACTGTGCTTCCAAACTGATGAGTTAAATTCTAATCTTTTTACCTTCTTTTCAAAAGCTATGCAATGTGCACGGTAAGCGTCCTCTTGATCTTTCTCTTGAATTGAACTTAAGATATATGGTCAGTCTATTAAGCTCGAATCTCCCTATTAATTGCCTTTTATACTGTATTTTTAAATTGAGGTTGTTTTGTATAATTGGAGTTTTTAGTGTTCATATTTATATGTATGTTGTAAGCCGCCCTGAGCCCGCCTTGGCGGGGAGGGCGGGATATAAATTTGATAAAGTAAATAAATAAATAAATTGTGTTAATTAAACTCACTGAAATAATTTAAATATTTTCTCTACATTGTTTTGTAGTGTTAAAATGTTTGAATTGCTTGTAAATAAGTAAAAACTTTTAGTGTAAAAATAGGTATGTCAGAACCAATAATCTGTTCCCTTGTTTTCCTGATAAAAAGTTGCTGAGTTTCTTTCTCATTTTGAGCATCTGAATCTTATGTAATCACCTCTCATTACAGTGGCTAGCTGTAAAGTGTTGTGGAATTAGGGCCTGGATTGAGCCTCAGTCACCTGCTAAGCCTGTTACTTTAATTTCTGCAGTAAATTAGCCTCTGTAGTTGAATCTTTGGTTCCATTTCCCAGGAGGTTTCAGAACTCTGCTGGTGCTGTGGCCTTCTGGTACTGATAACTCTGTACATGACTTTTGCTTTAGAGGATGTTTATACATTCCAAGTTAGTGGAATCACTCTCAGAATCAAAATGGATAGGGTATCTGAAATTAGCTTCTTTGACTCTCCTTGACTTTCTGAGAACTTCCTGAACCTAGAGATAGAACAAAGGGGAGGGATCGTGGGTGAGTGCATTGGGTCAGTTCTAGTTTGACCTGTGTCACATCAATGGTATAGTCCTACATGATAGTTACGGCAGTCATTATGTTAGCAGCTATAGGTCCAAGGAAGATCTATATCTCTGGTTTACCAATGGTAAGGGGCTGACCATCAATAGTTCCTTGCAGGGGTCGTTTCGTAGAAAAAGAGCTAGGGGAACTCATTAGCATAACTCATTAGCATATGCCACACCCCCTGACATTACCAAAAGTGTGTCATAAGGCCACACACCCCACCCCCAGCGGTCCCGGCCGCCACTGGAGGCCTTGCAGCTCCACTGCTGAGCCCCATGAGGGGTCCGGCGGTGTACTTGCAAGGCCGGCGGGAGTGCAAGGAAGCCACGAAGGCCCTCCCTGGCCCCAGGCAGGCAGGGGTGGGGAGAGGCAGGGAGGAAGCAACTTACCCTCCCTCTTCTCCTGCCTCCTTCTGGCTGAATGAGGGCCAGAAGCGAGGCGGCCGGAAGCAGGGGGCGGGGCCTTGTCATGTGCCCCGCCCCCCGTACCTCACCCAGGGGAACTGCGATCCCCCCCCCGAAAAGACCCTTGTGATGCCTTGATGACTAGTCCAGAACGTTCTGAGTTTTATACAAGTGCACTATTTTAAGTATTGGGTCTGTTTGAAATATTCTATGTTGAATATTGAAATGCTATAAAGTGTTTTCTGTCTTAAGAGTGGAATAAAATTATGTTTTGTTTAAGAACCATTATCTCTCTATATATATACTAGATTCAGTCCCTTGCCAGTCTCCACCCAACCAATGAAAGAACTCAGGGGAATGGGAGCGGGGAGGAAAAGTCCTGGCTCCCAGAATCCCTCAACATAAAGATATCCAAAGTCATTACCTGTCAGTAACTGTGTCCCAGTTCTTCTAAAGTCTTCTCAGTAAAGCTTTTCTCCCATATTGCGACAGGCAACATTGAACAGTGATATGCAGCGCTATGTTGTTTTGGTGATAATTTCCAAATGGTTTAGTTCGCAACATCTTGTCCTAGCTGATCATGGAGCTTTATTTAAACTAGCTAGTTAAGAGTCTGATACAAACTGTCTTGTTTATGTTGCAGGAAAGAAAGAAACCCTGCAGGCCTGGAGCACATTTTTGAAGCAATGAACATATTCTTGGGTATATGTGCAGTAAACTACCGGATGTGGGTTTGTAAGCTAGGGGAGGAAATTCTTCCAACAGTCCTTTATATATGGGCTCAACACAAACCAAATGATTCCTTGAAGGAGCAGATCGTTCAGCTAGTTCAGCTGCAGGTTCGTGTTCATCATCCAAATGGAGCTAAAACTCAGGGAAAAGGTATGTATACCGTCTTTCATGCCCATATGTGACAGGGAGTCTGTATACCAATATCTGGCTCTTTGGTGAACTGAATTTGGGTTGCTTAAGTTGAAGGTGTTGGAGGGTTCCAGGACTTCCTAGGTCTCTTTTACTATGGTCACTTATAGCATAATTTTTCATACTTACTGTTAGGGTGTTTAAATATTTGTTTTATGTAATAATCAAATAATTAGTTTAAACCAGTGGGGGACCCTCAAGACTTGGGGGAGATTTCCCATCCTTCCCCCCCACCTTGCTGTCTGTACTATGCTGGTCAGCTTACCTGCCTGAAGCGCTGCCATCTCCACCTGCCTGGCTTATGCGGTGGCTCCCACTCCCCCCCCCCCACTGCACCGGCACCTGCTTGTGGTAGGTGGCTCCTGTTTTTCCCAGCTTGCAGAGGTGGGGTGGCTCCCTCTCCTATTCCTCTGCAGCACCACCTACCTGGATCAGGTAGTGGCTTCCCTTACATATTGTTCCCTTAAAATGGCAGTTAGGTCTTGCAACATAGCATCGCAATATCTTGGCTTTTCCAGTTGTAATTTAAATTTTTATTTTATTTTTCTTTATTTGGATTTTTGTGCAAACCTGGGGGCTGACTCGGGTTTATACAAACATCTCCGTACTCTGTACCAGACCCCATTGCACAAATTAAACAGTCCACATGTTGAGGTCCCAGTTCAAAATTAGGTACAGGATACACATGAATCAGTAGCTGCTGGTAAACCTCTGCAATCTTGAACAGGCCATTTGTTGTGTATGTCATGTTATGTCATGTTGGATGAAAGCTAAATTGTTTTGTTTTTGTGTACACAGGAGTATGTGACTCAGCAAAATGGCAAAGCATTTTGTACAACCTGTATGATCTGTTAGTTAATGAGATCAGTCTCATAGGCAGCAGAGGAAAGTATTCTTCAGGCTCTCGCAATATTGCTTTGAAAGAAAACCTGGTTGACTTAATGGCTGATATTTGCCATCAGGTAAACTTGTTACCTCTTTCACGTATTGTTTCACGCGTAAGACAAGATTCTTTTCTTTGTGGGTGTGGCGGAGTGATCTCCATAGTGTGTAATAACTTTGCAGACTCAAGCACCACATCAAGGCCATTTTAGAACTGAGAAGTAGTTGTTCATTTCCAGTATTCCTATCCAGTCTGACCACTCAATCAAAAAAACGAAGTTTAAAATTCATGTTCCTTGAATGAGCAGAAGGGGAAGGGCTAGTCATCAGTATGCTACGTACACTTGAGCCTCTTCTCTTAATATCAGCCTGTACATTCACTGTGTGCGTGCAGGGGTGGTGGAATTGGGGCTTTTAGGTCCTACTAGAGGTGTGCCCACTTGCCAACCCTGTAGCTCACTGCACTTGCAATATTTAATGGTCATTTGAATACTGAATGAACAGTTCTGCCACTTGCCAGAAGAACTGCAGCAATACTGGATGAAGCAACACCAAGAGTGATCACCCTTTTTTGCAAAGGGTGGCCAAAATAAGATTGAAACATGGACGGCTTCAAAAGGGAATTAGATAAGCATATGGAGCAGAGGTCCATCAGTGGCTATTAGGGGCTTTGGGGCAAGTGATGCTCTGTCTTCTTGGTGCTTGGGGGGGTCAACAGTGGGAGGGCTTCTAATGTCCTGGCCCCACTGCTGGACCTCCTGATGGCACTGGTATTTCTGGCCACTGTGTGACACAGAATGTTGGACTGGATGGGCCTTTGGCCTGATCCAACATTGGCATCTCTTATGTTCTTAACAAACATCATACCCTGCCAATGTTCCCAATGGAGACCTAAAGTGGCTCACGTTGTTATTCTCTCTTATTGTCACAATAACCCCATGGGGTAGCACCGGCTGAAAGTGTGTGACTGGCCTGAACTCAACCCAGCAGCCTTCAGTGGCAGAGAGCAGAATTCAAACCTGAATCTCTTTGATCCTAGTCTGACATTCTAACCAGGACACCACACTGTCTCTGGATTCTTAACCCACTTTTTAAGACAGGAGGGGATATTTTCCACCCTTCCTGTCCATGATGCTTCCCTCCCTCCCCGTATGGATCCAAAGCAGCTCACATTGTTCTCCTGTCCTCTCTTTTATCCTCACAACAGCAACCCTGTGAGGTACATTAGGCTCGAGAGGGTGTAACTGGCCCAAGGTCAGCCAGCAAGCTTCCATGGCAGAGTGGTGATCCAAACCTGGGTTCCCTTGATCCTGGCCAGGGACTCTAACCATTACGCCAGACAGGCTGTGATAGGTCAGGGAAGTTGTTAGCCTCTATTGTTTTGTCATCTTCTTGCATGTTCCTGGCTTTTTGTGAGTAGACCTGAACTTCCATTGCAAATTGCAAAGGGGTGGTCATAATAATCAGGCCTAGGATGTTTTGATTCCTTTCATATTTGGCACTGCAACACCCACAGTCCTCCTGAAAACAGAGGCCAATATTAAGATACCTAGGTTTATTTTCTGATGAGTTATACCCACACAGACAACCTTCACTTCCATTGCTAATAGTGGCTCCTTGAAATAACCTGGGCCAGCAGGTCCCAGTTGCTTTAATTTTTAGTGTTTCAACTCCCATGATCATAAGAACATAAGAGACGCCAATGCTGGATCAGGCCAAAGGCCCATCCAGTCCAACACTGTCACACAGTGGCCAGAAATACCAGGTGCCATCAGGAGGTCCACCAGTGGGGCCAGGACATTAGAAGCCCTCCCACTGTTGACCCCCCCAAGCACCAAGAAGACAGAGCATCACTTGCCCCAGAGCCGCTATCTATACCTTGTGGCTAATAGCCACTGATGATCATCCTGAAGCCGGTGCCTGCCAGAGACAATCATAGCTTCCAGTGCAAGAAGCAAGGGTGGGGGTAAGGTTGTGGTCTGGAGATTATGTGTTCTGATTCCCTTCTTGTTTGGCACTGCAGCTCCCATGATCATCTTGAAGCTGGTGGCCAGTTTTGAAACCCCTAGCTTCATTTACTGATGAGTTATGCTTGCCATGGATGGACAGGCACATCCTTTTATTATTAGAGATGTGGGGATCCTTCTGTGCCCCAAAATGTGTCTGTGTGGGGGAGGAACATAACTGATTAATCTTTTATTACTGTAACTGCTATGTAAATCTTTGGTTTCTTTGATGTGTTTTGCATGCTTAAATTCTGAAGAAGATTAATTTAAGTAAAGTTTTGGGGATGAGTCAAGCTGGCTCTGATATCAGCAGACATTTCTTAAGCCTCCATTACACTGATTGGGCCTTAATACTTTCAGTTAATTTATATTTTAGTATAAAATTATGTTAGTTATTATCTTTCCTTTTATTTGTTTGTTTCAGGTCTTTACTGAAGACACCAAAGTTCTGGAGATCACTCAGTCATATGCCATTACTCAGAGAGAGTGTGGCGATGGAGAAGGACCCTCCAAACGCAGAAGAATTGAATTGGGTTGGGAAGTGATTCGGGACAATCTGCAAAAATCACAGAACGATTTTGATGTCATACCTTGGTAAAAATTCACTTATTCTAGTTTTCCACTTAAAACTGCTAATTTTATCCAATCTTTACTGATTTATTTTTGCATGTTTTGAAGGTTGCAGATTGCCATTCGATTAATATCAAAGTACCCTATGAGTCTTCCTCATCATGAGCTGCCTCACTTACTCAACATACTGTATCAGTTACTACCTCAGCAACGGCGGGGAAAACGATCACCTTATGTGTTAAGATGCCTTAAAGAAGCTGCTTTGTGTCAGAGCCAAAAATCAGATCTGAAAACCACGCAAAGGTTAGAGCTGCAGCGAACGTGGTCGAAAATATGGTCTCTTGTTGTTCGTAGTCTGAATTTCCAGCAAACTGAAATGGAAAGTTTTGGGCTACTTGGAGTAATAATTCAAGAACACTTAGTAACAATGGACAGAGAAATCTGGAAGATATTTTCAGGAGCTGCATGCAAGCCCTCAAGGTACAGTGGGAACATTTTTGAATACACTATAACCTTCATGGTCCAGTTAATGCTGTCTTTGAAGTTTTGTGCTTTTTTGCATGTATTTGGTGAATGGCGTTAAGTGTTGCTTAATTCAGGTAAATGGGTGAGGGGAAGTGAGGCTAGAGGTTGGTGGGGATTAGTCCAATGTGAGGCAGTAGGTTCTTGGGAGACCCTTTGTCCTAAATTATGCACCTCTCTAGGATGGGGAGGAGGTTCTTAGCTGTCCAGCTGCTCTTTTCACTTCTAAACTGTATGTCCAGACTTGTCCATGCCTTACTTCCATTTTGTGTTATTTTAGGCCAGGTAGTGTATTACAGCATATGATACTTGAGTGTGTGTGTGTGTGTGATTTATTAGGAAGAGTGCTTATGGTTTTTCTAGCGTTAACCTGCTCCTCAGCGAGAGGAGGAGTCTTGAGTGCTAACAGTATGACATTGCACACAGCCTGTTATATCCAGATTATAATCTTGTGGAAATGATCTTTTATAGTTCTGCAGCTCAGTGCTTAGCAATAGCAATGGCAACTTTGGGAGTGCCAGAAACTTTGCGTATCAGGACAGCACAGAATTATTGGGAAGGAAATGCAAGTTATACACCAAAAGAAACAATAATGAAGTGGCTTCTGTTCTGCCATCTGGAGGAAGACATGGAAGACAATATGGAGCTGCCTCCTATTTTGTCCAGGTAAATAACTTGAAAAATATAACAACCTACACAGGATTTTCCACATTTGTCTAATATTTTTAGGCTTTATTTTAACAGCTTGATTTTATATCAAGGTAATGTACTGTTACCCATTGGGGAAATGAGATACATAGTGAGGAAGCACCACTGAGATTGTCTGTAGCCATTAAGAATTCTGTGCTCAGGACCATAAATGTATTCAGAACTGTGATTTCTAGAGTGGGATTAAAGGGATGGTCTGCTTCATTAAAGATGGTCTGTTTCAACTTCCTTTTCCAAAATTCTTTACAGTGACTTTCCTAATCTGGTGTTGCAGAAAATACTTGTAAGCCTGACAATGAAGAATTGTAGAGCTGCACTAGAATTTTTCCAGAAAGCTTCAGAATGGTATGTTTTAAAAATCAGCATGTGTGTCTTGGTAACTCAGAGGAAATATTTTTAAATTTAAATTTTTTGATTCTAGCGATCTGGGTCCCATCTCTCTTGGGAAACCAGTTGCTTCTGAAAAGTTCTAGGCAATCCAAAGGACAAGCATCCAGAGAACCACTCAATTAATGCTGCACCCAAGAAAACTTTTGATTTGAGTCTTTTGATCAGAAGCTTCTCATGCTACGTGGCAAATGGGTTTTGAAATGGAGGGAACTAAAAATAATGGTGACTGCGGCCATGAAATTAAAAGATGCCTGCTCCTTGGGAGGAAAGCTATGGCAAACCTAGACAGCATAATAAAAAGTAGAGGGCTCACCCTGCCAACAAAAGTCCTTATGGTCAAAGTAATGGTATTCCCAGGAATAATGTATTGCTGCAAGAGTTGGACCAAAAGGAAGGCCGAGCGCCGAAGAATAGATGCTTTCGAATTATGGTGCTGGAGAAGACTCTTGAGAGTCCCTTGGACTGCAAGGAGATCAAATCAGCCAATCCTAAAAGAAATCAACCCTGACTGTTCCTGGAAGGCCAGATCCTGAAGCTGAAGCTCAAATACTTTGGCCACCAAATGAGAAGGGAGCACTCACTGGAGAAGACCCTGATGCTGGGAAAGATTGAAGGTCAAAGAAGAAGGGGACGGCAAAGGATGAGATGGTTAGACAGTGTTATTGATGCAACGAACATGAAGTTGAGCAAACTCAGGAGGACAGGAGGGCCTGGCGTGATGTGGTCCATGGGGTCATGAAGACTCGGACTCGACTGTGCAACTGAACAACAACAACAAAAATAACTTTTAACCTAATACATCCAGACAACATTCTTTACTTCCAGGACTCCTGATACCTAGGATGACCACGGCAAGCTGTTGGATGCGAAATAATGGCATGTCAAAACCTGGATTATAGCAATAACTGAGATACTGATAACGCAATCCTAAACAGAATTACACCCTTCTAAGCCCATCGATGTTCATGGGTTTAGAAGGGTGTAACTCTGTTTAGGATTGCACCATGGCTCACCAAAAATCCCATAGATATCCTGTGAAAACTCACTAGACTAAAAACTCACTACAAAGGTGGTTGTTTATTGTTAGACCACTGTTGTTAGAAAAAGTACTAACCACTAGATTTGTGTGGTTTTTTTAATTTGGAAAAAAATGCAGAAACCCGTCTTCCCAAATCATTTAAAAAGCAATTTACTTTATAGCACAGAGGTTTGCTATTGAACAACAGAAAACCCTTTAAAAGCCCTACAGGCATGGCCAGGCTTAAAAGTACCTCTTATATCCAGCCATGATTTCTGCATAAAGACATGAAAAAATTATTTAACAGGAGTATTATTTTCGTCTGAACTGCATAACCAGATCTCTTTTTAATATGGGATCTTTTTCAAAGTATCATTAGGTGCCTTAAGAATATTATAAAATGATGGCTCCCACTTATGTAAATGTGTAATATTTTAAGAAGTTGGTGTGTGTGTGTGTGTGTGTGTGTGTGTGTGCGCTGTCTTTGGCAAGAAGTATTGTAGTAAAATATCACAGATAATCTTTCTCTTATTTTTAAAGTATGCGGCATTCACAAAACAAAGAAGAAGCCAGTCTCTCAGAAACAGAAGCATATTTCCTGCAAACAACTTTTGATGAAATTAATTTTTTCACAAATGTGCCTGATAATACAACAGCAGACAAACTGCCTGGTTCTAGACTGATTGTCAATCAGAAACTGAGACATGCCCTGGAGCATGATCTTTTGCTGATGTCAGAACAGCTTCTTAATAACATCTCCCTTGATGTAAGTTAAAAAATTGGAATCTGTATCATTCATTTTTACTTAAAAGGTGACTTTAAGTTTCAGGTAGGTCAGTCTGTAGTAGTACAAAATTTAAGCTCAATAGCACTTAAAGACCAACAGAAGTTTCCAGGGTATAAGCTTTTGTGAGCCAAACCTGACGTTGTCAGACAAATATATCCTTTCTCATGATTAAAGGTCAGGGGCTGTCAAGATTTTTGCAACTGGAGTAACACAAGCATAGCATATTGCAAAATGAGTGCACCACATCTAGCAGCTGTATCTAAAATTCCTGAAATGATCCAAATAACATTGGCTTCCCCTGCCTCAGGTCTTAAGCCTAATTGGTTCCTGTGCCGTTTAGATCCGCCAGAGCAACAGATCTATTCCACCAAATGATCTATCACTGGCATAAGTGAAGTGGTCACTAGAATGGATACTAATTACTGAGGTGCCAATACATTTTAGGAGCTGTGGTGGCTCAAGTGGTTAAGGCGCTGAACTGCAGGCTGTGGAAGGTTGGTAGTTCAGCAGTTTGAGACTTGAGTGTGTTGCATGACGCAGTGAGCTCCCGTCTCTAGTTCCAGCTCCTGCCAACCTAGCAGTTAGAAAGCAAGAAATTGCAAGTAGATAAATAGGTACCACTTCAGTGGGAAGGTAACAGCGGTTCGTGCGCCTTGGTGTTTAGTCATTCCGTCCACATGACCACGGAAATGTCTTTGGACAGCGCTGGCTCTTCGGCTTTGAAACGGAGATGAGCACCGCAACCCTAGAGTCGGATTCGACTGGCTTTCGAGCAAGGGAACCTTTACCTTTACCTAATAAGTTTTAATTGGGTTATCTAATTTTAAATTGGTTAATATTATTTTAATGCTGTAATGTTTTATGGAATTAAGTTATTTTTGTATGAAATGATGTAAGCAGTCCTCAGTCGGCTTGCGGGGTAGGGCTGGGTAAAAATCCCAAAAGTAAAATGAAATAAATGAAATAATATAGTGAATAATTTTAAAAAATGGCCCTCATGCTTATTGTACAGTTCTAATAATAGTGTTCAGTACTGAATAAGTTTACTATCTCTGCTCTAGTTTGGATACTGAAAAGAACCTGTGTTCAACTTGGATTTTAACAGGACGTAACTGTTGATGAATTATAATGTAATATAACACAACGCATTTATGTTGTTTATTTAATTTACTCTAAGGTGATGCCTGCAGAAATCCTAGTGCGTTGTGCTGGTCTCTTGACTGGTGTTCTGGGTTGCTATTGCTATGCTGGCGTACAGACAGAAGAGGAAGCATGCTTGTCAGAGCTTTTTCATAAAGCCAAGGTAGGACTTTTGGTCATTTGGCTGAAAAATACGCTAACTCCGTGATTATCAAGCAATGGTTCTACCTACCGCGTGTGGTGGAAGGGACAGCTGTCATGTACTGATGATGATATGTGTAACGGAAATTTTGTGGTGGTGGTTGTCCTCCCTCTCAATTGATCTTCAGCCAGTCCTACGATATAGGATTTTCTTGGCCAAGAGTTTGGTATTACAGAATGTATCTTATTTTGCTCTTCTAACCGTGGTGGTGGATAATGATGGGGGAGGAGGAGGGAGATGATTATAGAAGTATAGACCAAAGATTCATATTCTGAGTATAGTTGACAGAAGCCATATAACTAAGAATCAGGGATTTGTAAATGCATTATGTCATGTTAAGGGGATAAGAATGTAAATAGATACTGTACAAAGATTTACTACAGATTGTGAAAATTGGTATTCTAAAGGAGCAGCTTGCGAATGAATGAAAAGCCCCACCTCCCCATTAACAAAGGCAACACTTAGGTGGAAGGTTATATATTAGTTTTTGGCTACTAGGTAGAAAGGGAGGGTCACATCATGACAGCAGGGGGTCCATGCTATGCTTTATTCTCCATTTAATAATGGAGAATCTGAGAAGCAACAGGGACATTCACACAGAGCAATGTCTTTCGGCAAGGGATCCGTGGAGTCGTTGTGTTCTGAAAACATCCCCTTTTGGGTTCTGTAAAATTTTACAGTGTCCCACTTTAGTTGCAGTGCTATTTCTTCTTACACGTGCCAGTTAATCCCACTCTTTAGACTGGCAGTTTTCACAGGTTGATTTGTGGCCCCATCTAGTCTTTTGATACTTCTTGCAGCCTTCACTGCTGAATGTTCAAAATGAGTCTTTATTTGTAGTAGTGTTACAAAACAGGCAAGGTTTGTATGGTATTGAATAATTAACCTGAGTTAAGAACAGTTGAATAATTAACCTAAAGAACAGTTGTAATTTTGAGTGATCTCCCGCCCTCACCTGGAGATTGGCAACGATGGTTCCCCAGAAGGGAATAGTTGGTTTGGAGGGTGGAGTCTATGGCTTTGTACCTGTCCGAGGTCCCATGCCTCCTGAAACCTCACCCTCCAGGCTCCATCCCTTACATCTCCAGGAATTTCCCACCTGGAGTTGGCAACCCTATCACCTTCCCAGCCAATCATCAACCTACCTTTATTTCCCCCTCACTCTTCAGCTTTCCACCCCCCACACACCTGCAGCCTCTCCCGTGCTCTGAAGCCCTGACTGCTACATCACATTGGCTGTCATACGGGGGCCACCTCAGCAGCATATAAGGATACACAGCCCACCATTTTCTCCAGGGGAACTGATCTCTGCCATCTGGAAAGCAGTTGTAATTCTGAGTGATCTCCAGACCTCACCTGGAGATTGGACACATTTTACCTCAGAAGAGCAAACTGTTTAGAATGTTAGAGGCAAAAACCAATCAAGTTGCATATGCAAATAACCTCTGTGTTCCAAGGCAAAGGCCAGTGAGGCTGCATATGCAAATAACCTCTGTGTTCTGACTGGCTATGGTGGGGGGGGAGAGGAACAGCAAAATGTTTAGAATGTTGGAGGCAGGACTCAGGCAAAGCAGCCTGTGGATAGGGAGACCCTCTGAATGACAGATCAGAGAGCGAACTGATTTTGGAGCGTGTGGAATGTTCTAGAGAAGTGCCACCACCATTCGGCTTTTAATTATAAGGGAGGTTATTTATTTTATCATAATTGTTAAATAAGTTGCTTATTACAAGATTTTGCTCCCTTTTTTTATGGAGTATTCCGGGATGAGGAAACTAGAAATCTTCAGCCAAAAACAGAATTAAAATCACAGTAAACAGTTCACAAGAATGTCCACCTACATATAGATTCAAAGGAAGTCTGACTGGGCTGCTAGATGCTGGAAGCCAAGTGACCTCCATAAACAAAGTTCCATTTGAAGTTCTTGGATTGGATCCCACCTAAAATTTATTAGTGTGCAAAGGGATGTGGAGTCACCTATCCCCCCCCCCTTATGACAGACCTCCTTTGAGTCCCCCAAGCTATTCATAGGGTGCCCCATCTCCCAGGAGTGGCAGTTTGGGCAGGGGAGGGAGAAATCCATGGAAGTTTTGGGTAGGATCTAAGTCTAAATCTTATTCCATCTGAAGCATCCCTTTGTTTGACATGTAACTTTGGTAATTCCCCAAATAGACAAGGAGTAGAGATAGCTGTGTTTTCAAAGCAAAAGTTGTGTTGACCTATTATTCTGATCAAGCCAAGCAGTCACAAAACATTAAATTTTCATGTTCTCCACAGTTCTTCATTGGGCTGCATGTTTGGTACAAAACATGTCTCTTTTCAGTGTGAAAACATGTTTTGTACTCAATTCTGTTTCATCCAGTTAATTCTTCAGTCTGCTCTGGGTCCCTTGTTAAGACTCTATAACCTGTTTTCCATCATGCCTGTGAAAGACTTTGAAGCCCCTCTTTCCTTTCTTTTGTTTTTGGTACTCAGCATCCAGCCTGATGAAGAGTTCTGGAGAAACTGAAAACTTGCTTTTTCTGTGATATTTTGGTGAACCTAATAGGTGTTTATTGCATAACTTTTGCTTTTAAGTTAACATGGTTAATCATGTAGAGGTAGAGAAAGAGGTACTTTTCTCCCTTTCTCACAATACAAGAACTCGTGGGCACTCCATGAAATTGCTGAGCGGTCAGGTTAGAACACACATGGAATTCACTGCCACAGGAGGTGGTGGCGGCTACCAGCATGGACGGCTTCAAGAGGGAATTAGATAAGCATATGGAGCAGAGGTCCATCAGTGGCTATTAGCCACAAGGTATAGATAGGGACTCCGGGGCAAGTGATGCCCTGTCTTCTTGGTGCTGGGGGGGGGGGAGAACAGTGGAGGGCTTCTAGTATCCTGGCCCCACTGCTGGACCTCCTGATGGCACCTGGTATTTTTGGCCACTGTGTGACAGAGTGTTGGACTGGATGGGCCATTGGCCTGATCCAACAATGGCTTCTCTTATGTTCTTATGATCTTATCTTAACTAAAATTCCAGTGTGATTTCCTTGGCATGGGTAAACCTGAATCTAGATAAAGGCAATATGTGAGTGAAAGTTTCTTAATATTTTGTTTTCTTTTTATTTGAATAGTCCCTTATGCATTATGTTGGAGAGAGCATTTCTCAGTCCAAAAGCAAGCTAAATGAAGATGCTAGGACACTTGCTATGAAGGCTTTAATCATACAATGTATTAGTTGCTTATGTAACTGTACCCAGGTAAGACATTTGTTGGTTTTCTAGTCCAATCCACATATTAGTGAAGCTGAAACTCTTTTTTTTTTGCCATTTTACTTCATCTTGATCAAGATTATATAATAAACAAGAATATTTGAGATAATCTTGATCAATATTATATAATAAGAATATTTGAGATAACATTCCACTGACATCTTTGAATTTCACTTAATTGCATCAATTGAGCAACTCTTGAAAAGAAAGTTTGCCAAAGTATGTGCAGTTGAGAAGCTGAAACTCTTGTAGTTAAGCCTGTTAAGGTCCCATTTAAAAACATATATTTTACCAAGCAGTTAGTTATTTTGTAATCATATTTGTGGATATACATGAACGTACATACTTTGCAGAACACTGTATGGCCAAAATGAATGTTTGCAAATTGCTGTAATTTCTTGCAAATAGTTTCTGCAAGGGGAATCTTAAATTAAAATATTAGAGTGAAATTCTGAGCCCCAATTAAGATGCTTAAACCAATGGGATATAAGTTTATAAACTGCAAGCATGGAGTCATATAACAAATGTAAGCATGACCGATCCAGTGTCAGTGTTTCTGGGAAAACTTCCTTGCTGATCTACTAAACAGTGTAGCCTATTGCACTATGACTTCAGACTTCAGTCATTTGGTACTTGCTGCCATACTTTGCAAAATAAGATAAACAGATTCTTTGAGACTGCATTTTTAATTGGTATATCTTTTGCATTATTGACAGAACAGCCCAAGAAAGATCCTGTCTACTTTTTTCTTACATTTGTTAACATCGAAGTTGATGAATGATCTTGCAGATATTTGCAAACATCTCGTGAGTAGTCACTGAATGTTGTGTTTTCTTTCACTGTGAAGATTTTGTACGTACTTAGTGTAGCCCAAAGCTGTGCTGAAGGAAATTTTTATTACTCACATGAGATAAATATATTGTACTGGAAAGACTTAGTCTTCCCTGTGTTTGTTTATTTGTTTATTATATTTATACCCTGCCCATCCTGCGAACAGGCTCAGGGCGGCTAAGAATGATTAGGTACAGACTGAGAAGAGTGTTCACCCACGTCCTCCTTCACTCTTTTCTCTCCTATTACTGCTCCATCCAAGTCCTGCTCATACCCAGCCACCTCTCACTTCTCCTTCCCATGAGGGTTTTGCAAATATGGAGGGAACAGCTGCTGCTAGCCTTTGCGTGGCCATATGATTGGGCGTCACAGGGTCCAGCCTAAGTCCATTTTCCTGGGAGTAAGCCCTGCTGAATAAAATGGGACTTGCTTCTGAATAGACCTGCTTAAGATTGCTCTCACAATGTCAGGATGAGTTTCCAAAGGGCCAAGAGCTCTTAAGGCAGAAGGGTGGGTACCATGCATAGCTGGGGCTGGCAGCACCCAGTCTCTGGTACTGCATATGCAAACAGTAGCAGCGTTTGATTGGTAGTGTTTGCCATTTAGGTGTTCTCTGGGGTTATTACAGTGGAGCGGAGTAGCACTGGAGTAACAGACTGCAAACCAGGTCTATATTATGGCCATGACTGTGAATTATTTGTGACTTGCATAACTGAGGGAGACAGTCTCCCTTTCAGTTGAGGTCAGCTGGGAATTTCTCATTGGGACTTTTACCTACAAGACTTGTTTTAATTACAAGGACAAGAGAGAGGGTCTTCTCAGCAGGTGCTGTGGTACACACATGCTTCTGCCAGTATCAGACAAACAGAAATATATTGGGAACCAGGGGTGATGTTTTCCTGGTTTGTATATCAATTAATAGGAGCTGCGGTGGCTCAAGTGGTTAAGACGCTGAACTGCAGGCTGTGGAAGGTTGGTAGTTCAGCAGTTCGAGACCCAAGTGTGCCTCAGGACGGAGTGAGCTCCCGTCTCTAGTTCCAGCTCCTGCCAACCTAGCAGTTCGAAAGCAAGAAATTGCAAGTAGATAAATAGGTACCACTTCAGTGGGAAGGTAACAGCGGTTCGTGCGCCTTGGTCATGCCGGCCACATGACCACGGAAATGTCTTCGGACAGCGCTGGCTCTTCGGCTTTGAAACGGAGATGAGCACTGCAACCCTAGAGTCAGGTACGGCTGGCTTTCGAGTAAGGGAACCTTTACCTTTATATCAATTGATGGTGTTTTTATGCCATTGGAATTGGGAGCACAAGTTGCAAGGATCTTTAACTTCTATGGTTTTATTGTAAGAAAAGGATGAAAGAATTCCAAAGAAATCTATATATCTAATTCCCAACAGTCCCCTCTGCGTTCAGATACTTATTTCTGCAGATAGGGGGCACACTCTCCCCCAACAGGGTTTTCTACAGACTTAGAAGACTCCCTGGGTCTGCAGAAAAATGCAAAAAGTTGGGAAAAACCTCAGGGAGGGTTGAACCCCCCCATACCTTTTAAAATGGCCACCACAGGGATCTACTCCAGGCCCCACTGCATCCACAGTGAGAGATAGCCAGAGAGACAGAGAAGGGAGGAAGCAAGAGCAGGACTGGATCTTGGATTGGGGAGGATTCCCCCTGCAGTATGAATGGCTAAATAGCAGGGGGGTTGGAGCCAGGCCTGGAACTAGGATTGTCTGCTCCATGTTGGGAAATTCCTGGAGATCTCCTGGAATTACAACTCATCTCCAGATGACAGAGATCAGTTCTCCCAGAGAAAATGGCTGCTTTGAAGGGTGGAGTTTATGGCATTATACCCTGCTGAGGTCACTTCCCAGCTCAAACCTCATCCTCCCAAGGCTCCACCCCCAAATCTCCAGGAATTTCCCAACATGGAGCTGGCAACCGTAAGAGGAACTGATCTCTGTATTTGGGCAATCCGTTGTGATTCTTGGAAAGCGGCTGCTGCCACTGCTGCTGGGGGGGGGGGGGGCTGGGGGCCCAGGAGAGTGAAGGGGGCAGAAAAAGTGATGGGGTGGGGGCAGAAAGGAAGTAAAAGGCATGGAGAGAGAGAGTAAGAAAAGGGGTGGCAGGAAGGAGAAAGAGTGTGAGAGAAGAAGGGGGAGAGGGGAAGAAGCAGAGGTGGTTGGAATAGGATAGCCACTCCCGCATGTTTCTTGTCAATCATATTTCTTAGATGGCTTTTACTGGAAAGCCAAGTGAAGCTGGAGAAGCGGATTTAATGGAAGGAGATGGTGAGGGGAGTAGAATGGATGGAGAAAAGACGGTGTTGGATTTATTCGATGACCATTCTGGTGACGCTGGTGATGTAAATGAAGCTGGGGAGTTGCAGATTTTGACAGGTATTTTAATCTGATTTATACATACATTGATATGATTTTTTAAAATTTCTCTTATTTATTTTAAGTCTATGTCACCTTTCAACATAGATGCAAGGAAATGATGAAATAGCTATCAGCAGAGTTCCCTCTAAGCTGCCCTGGGGGGGTGGCTCACAAAATTTTAGCCAGCAGCGCAGGGATTTTTGCCTCAGCCCACAAGTGAAGGTTCCCCGCCCATTGGAAACAATGGAGGATGGGGGCACCTCCTTCTGGGGCCCATAGAATTTGACCCCCTGGGAGGTTTTTGAGGAGAGGCACCAGCAGCTATTCTGCAAATTTGGTGCCCCTGTCTAAAAAAAACCAGCCCCCTCAGAGCCCCAGATACCCACAGATCGATTATCCATTATAGTTCGTGGGGGCCATTGATTTGTAAGCTGCCTTGAGTCACAGGGAAAAGTGGAATATAAATATCTGAATAAATAAATATGTAGTTTGGGCAGTCTGATAACATTTGAGCAACTTCTTGTTTGTTAGGTTAGGCAGGGTTCTGACCGTGACTGTTCCACCTCAGTTATATTTGACCTGTAATGCTGGTTGTCATATTTCACTAAAAATCCAAAATAGACTGCAAGAGTCCCCCCCCCCCCAAGAGCTGGCACTTTTTCTTAGGCTCAGTGCAGGGTGACGGTCCGAGGACAGGTCTATCAATATAGTAGACTGGGGCTGGTAGACCTGTTCTCCAGAGGCCAGGACTGCCAATATAGTGGGCTGGGGTGGGTAGACCTGTTCTCTGGAGGCCAGGTCTACCGATATAGTGGGGAGAGGTGGGTAATAATCTAAAAAGCTAATTTACGTGATAGTCAAATGTAGATTCATAACTTTAATGCTACTAGCTTTTTTTTGCTTATGAGGTAGAATTTTTGCTCACAACACTGTGGACCTTAGAGGGAACATTGGCTATCAGTACACAATAAAATTAAAGAAACACAACTTGATTCTTAAGGCCTTGTAGACTTTTTTTTTTTGTTCAAAAAGGTTTTTATTTTCCGTTGTTCTCACATTTTACATCTTTTTATCAATCAGTTATATATTCCGTTTTCCCTCCCTCCCCCAAAAGGCTTCCCGCAATGCGTCTCCCTCATGTCCCACATAGATAGATTCAAGATAACATCGAGTAATTAATATTGTTCTAGACAAAGTAAATTTTGTTTCACGTCCCAGTTCTTTTCCAGATATATTTTAAAGTCCTTCCATTCTTCATAAAATTCTTGGTCTTCTTCATTGTTCAGTTTTCTGGTTATTTTGTCCATTTCAGCCATGAACATAACTTTTTGTATCCACTCCTCCAGATCTGGTATTTTTTCTTGTTTCCAGTATTGAGCATATATCATTCTTGCTGTTGTTATCAAATACCAGAACAGTGTCCTTTTTGTTATATTTAGTTCTTCCATTTTTAAACCTAAGAGCAGAATTTCAGGTGTCTTCTTAAAAGAACATTTTAGAATCTTTTGCATTTCACTGTGGATTTTGGTCCAGAAGTCCATAGCTTTATCGCATGTCCACCACATATGATAAAATGAGCCCTCATGTTTTTTACATTTCCAACATTTACTAGACATATTCTGGTTCATATTTGCTATTTTCTTGGGTGTCATGTACCATCTATACATCATTTTGTAACAATTTTCTTTTACATTGGTACAAATAGACAGTTTCATAGAGTTTTTCCACAAATATTCCCATGTTTCTATAGTTACTTCCTTATTCATATTAACTGCCCATTTTATCATTTGCTCTTTTACAGATTCATCCTCTGTAAACCATTTCAACAGTATTTTATACATATTAGAAACCATTTTCCTCCCCCCACTTTCCCAAACAGTTTCTACTTCGTTTCTGTCTTCTCTAAAACCATAATTTTTCTTATCCATTTTAAAGACATCATAAATCTGCATATATTTTAACCATTCATAATTGTATTGAATTTCATCCTGCCCTTTCATTACCCATTCTGTTCCTTGCTTACTAATTAAGTCCCTGTAAGGCAACCACTCCTTGCCTTGCTGTCTTGAATATGGTGTCAAAACTTCTGTTGGTACAATCCATAGTGGTCTTGCATCTCGAAAATATCTTCTGTATCTTGTCAATGTCGCAAATAAGGCGCGTCTCACCACATGGTGTCTGAAAAAGCTATCCATTTTTGTCTTCTCGTACCATAGGTATTCATGCCAGCCAAACCTACAATCATGACCTTCCAGTACGAGCAGTTTTTTATTGTCCAATTTCACCAATTGTGGATATACATGAATGTACATACTTTGCAGAACACTGTATGGCCAAAATGAATGTTTGCAAATTGCTGTAATCTCTTGCAAGTGGTTTCTGCAAGGGAAATCTTAAATTAAAATATTAGAGTGAAATTCTGAGCCCCAATTAAGATGCTTAAACCAATGGGATATAAGTTTATAAACTGCAAAAGCATGGAGTCATATAACAAATGTAAGCATGACCGAGGTAGAATTTTTGCTCACAACACTGTGGACCTTAGAGGGAACATTGGCTATCAGTACACAATAAAATTAAAGAAACACAACTTGATTCTTAAGGCCTTGTAGACTGAGAAAGTTTTGACCTGGCACCTAAATGGTCATAATTAGTGTGCCTTGTATTGGTCTGAGGGAAGGTGCCAGCACTGTAAAGGCGCTTTCTGCAGTCATCATGAGCTAATTCCTGAAGGTGAAGGTACCCCACAGAAGGGCTCCTCTGAAACAGATCATATACAGATCAGGTTTATGTGGTACAAGGAAGTACTTCAGATGCTCACTAGCACTGAGCACTTAGTCTGGTCTGTCACAACAAGTCATTTAAGTCCTTGAATGGGATCCCGCCTGAAACCCGGCAGGATTAAAAGTGGTGTGATATTTTGGTTTAAATTAAAATTTCTAGGAAGTACATTTTTTGCCTTTTTGCCTTCCCAAAGGCACACAATGTCTACCATGGCTGGCATTAGACATAAGCTTTCTTTTGAGCCAGTATCATGGCACTCCTGTGTTACTTTTCGCTATATGTGACAGCTGCAGTGTGGAGGGAACGCAGGTCTCAAAAAACATAATAATGTGCTTACCAACTGAAATTTGATTGTGACTCTCTAGTGAATGTTCACTTTGTGCTTGGAGTTGTGGGTCTTTTGTTTTTTCTTTACTGTAATAAAACTTAATTCACAGGTGCTGTGAGCCCGTTATCAGAAGAGCATCTCACTAAACAGGATTTGCTGCTCCTTGATATCGTCAAGTTCTTGTGTATAGCTGTAACAGCGGCCCCGGTACAAAGTGTTTGCTTTAGACCTTCTGAAATTCAGAGGAAACTCTTAATGTTAATAGATAAAAATACATTCGATCTCCTTAAACCACTGCACCTGCAAATGGTAAGTGAGTACAGTAATGGGAAATTATTCTGTTGAGCTTATCTGTATTGTTGCAGCACAACCACGTTAAGTAGCCTTTGTCTTGGGCTCACCGTTTTAGCAAGAGCTTTCTTTTCCTGGGTGAATGTCGACATTTAAAATAACGTAAGCATTTTGTAAATGCTTCTACAGTGTTCTGTTTAATAACAGAATTACTAATCACTAAGAATTGTGTTCAGTACACTGAGACTAGTCGGTGGGTATCTGATCAGCAAAAAAAGATTTTAATGTTCTATACCAGTTCCTCAGTATGGTGCCCATGGGTGCCGTGGTGCCCGCCAACATCTTTCCTGGGACTCAGTGCGTGTCTTTAGGAAGTAGATGGGGCCACGTGGGGCACTTGCCCAGTAGGGCTTCTGCCTGGCCCCTGGAGATCCAGTTATCTGGGCGGATTAAAATAATATGGTTTTGGCAGCGGCTGCCACTGCAGTGTTGGTTTTATTCTTTCTTACTGCCCTTTCTCACAAACTAGAGCCCATTTGGTGTAGTGATTAAATGCGCAGACCCTAATCTGGGGGAACTGGGTTTGATTCCCCACGCCTCCACTTGCAGCTGCTGGATGACCTTGGGCAAGCCATAATTCTGGCAAAGCTGTTCTCTCAAGGACAGTTCTGGAAAGAGCTCTCTCAGCCCCACCCACCTCACAGGGTGTCTGTTGTGGAGAGGGGAATGGAAAGGAGTTTGTAAGCCGCTCTGAGACTCCGTGTGAAGGGCGGGGTATGAATCCAATCTCCTCTTCTTCTTCTTCCCCAGTATATATGTTTACATTATGCCTCTTCTCTCCTGTACTTGGGCTTCCTCTGTGTGTGCGGCTCTGCCTCTTGTTTGCCTTTCCGTGGCTGTGCCCACCACCCTGTGTGTCAGAATTCCAAAGGTGCCCACAGGCTTTAAAAGGATTGGGAGCCTGTCCTGTGCTAACAATTAAAATAATTGCATGTCAAACATTTATAACCTACCTTTTCTGAAGATAGATGATATTATGGCCTTATAAATAAATGAATACACTGATTATTTTTTTAATTGTACTTTATACTAGTACTTACTCTTGTTGAAGGAGCTTCCTAATGAAGAAAATCCTTTGCCGGAAGAGCATGTTGAGTCACTTCTCAAGCCTCTTCTGTAAGAAAACTATCTTATTTAATAAAACCACTATAATTCAGATATTACAAATACATTTAATCATACCTCCCCATCTTCCTTCAGGGATGTGTGTTCCTTTTACCGTCGAGATCAAGAAGTTTGCTCAGCAATTCTTTGTAATCTCCTTCCCCTGGTGACTGCTTTGGATACTTCTGGAAGAAACGCAGGAGATTTAAGAACAGCTCAAGGACGGTTTTTAACGGTTGTTGGAGCATTTTGGTATGTTAAACCAGTTTCCAGTCACGATGCCTTTCGTGTCCATAAATAAGACCATTGCAGTGATTAAAAAGGTGGAAGGTCTGCCCCAATGAGTTGAACTGAAGGGAACACAGGCTCTGGTGAAAGAAATGTGAGTTAATAATTAGGCATGCAAAATGAGAATTTGAGAAGCAGATTGCTAAAAGCATCAAGACAAACAATAAATGGTCCTACCATGAAGGCAGGTTTAAGAGTGTGGTGCTTGGGGACTGATGCTCAGCCACTTATCTTCTGGCCTGTGTCGTCCCACAAGGTTCCATCTTGAATCCCATGCTTTTTACGCCTATATGAAGCTGCTGAGAAAGGTTATCTGGATAACTGGGCTGAGTTGCCACCAATATGCAGATGACACTCAGCTCTGTCTTGCATTTCCAGCTGATCCTATGGAGACTGTGGAAATCATGGTGCCTGGAGGCAGTTTTGGGAAGGATGAGGTCTAACAAGCTGAAACGTAATCTTGACAAAATGGAGGCAGTACTGGGGGGGGGGTCTGACCCAGGAGGTCTGACCCTGTTCTAGATGGTGTTGCATTCACCCTAAAGGAGCAGGTTTGTAGCTTGGGGTTGCTGCTGGACCCAGGCCTGTTGTAGGATAAAGAGGTAGCAGTGGTGGCCAGAGGTGCTTTTCACCAACTTTGGCTGAGGAGCCACCTGCAGTCATTCCGGGTGTGGGGGGGAGATCTTGCCATTGTGGCGCATGATATAGTAAAATGTAGGTGAGATTACTGCAGTGGGGCTGCCCTTGAAGACTGTCCAGAAGCTACAGTTGGTACGGAATGCAATCAGAATGTTGACAGAAGAGTGCTGTAGGAACCATATCACTCCTGCCTTATTTCATGTACACTGGCCCCCACTTTGCTTCTGGGCTCAATTCAAGGTGCTGGTATTGTCCTTAAAGCTGTATCCAGCTTGGCGCCAGAATACCTGAAGGACCGCCTTCTCCCATATGAATCTACCAATCCGTTCCTATCATATTTGGAGGCTCTGCTTTAGGTGCGAATCGAGAGGGTCAAGCTGCAAACTATATTATACAAAAATACAAAAATGTTTACTAGGGTGTACACATAACTAAAACATACAGCGGTTAAAAGAAATAGTCTAAGTTTCAGACTTAAAAGGCTTGTACAACCAAGTTAGTTATTATACAAATATAATTGATGGGAAAACCTTTTGACCTAAGGACCATATGCGTTTTGGCCTCTTCGGGCCTTCCTCCGTGGTCAATATTCTTTATATTACAATGACACACATCCAAAAATGTACACATAAGAAAATATATATATATATATATAAAATGCTTTTGTATTTGCAATTGCTACAAGTTTGTATTATAGGCCATAAATCGTAGGCCCTAAATAGTAGCCGTATCAATTTTTCAGATTATTCTGGTGTCAACGATTCCATTAGTCAGGATGTGTGTCACTTCCATCAAAGGACACATTTTTGTCTTAGCTCAGGAAGGATTTATTATATTATTTATTTATTTATTACTTTCGGCTTCTACCCCGCTCGAACCCCCTAGGGGGTCTCTGAGCGGCTCACAGTTACTCAGTTATCCCTAACTATGGCCACATCTGAATTGGGGTGGGGACTACCCTACCAGCACCCTGTAGATGTCGCTCCAGAGCAAACTGACTTATGCAGCAGCCAAATCACTCACTCACAACTTCAATAAAGAGCTTGAAGGTCACGGGATCCAACTTAGCTACAAAGTTAATTGAAACTAACAGACTAGTCCTTCCCCGAGTCCTGAACCTCAATAGTCTAGTGCCACAATGCTCCCTCTAAGCCAGGGGTGCCCAAACTGCAGCTCGGGAGCCACACGCGGCTCTTTCACACAGTCTAATTTAATGTTAATAAAATGCAAATTTGCATATTTTCCAATAAAAACGTATGTGTCATATTTGTTCATGTCTTGCGGCTCTCAAGCATCTGATATTTATTCTGCATGGCTCTTATGTTAAGCAATGCAACGTTTGGCCACCCCTACTCTAAGCTGTGGAGTCTTCTGATCAAAAATCCTACTTTGTGAGCTACTGGCATTGACGTTGTGAGTGAGTGATTTGGCTGGAGGGTTTTCTGTCTGTGAAAGTGTGACTTCCCTGCTTCTTCCCTTGATTACAACCCAAATTGTGCCCCCATGTTACTCCTGGGGGATCCCCGGGAATAGCTGGGAGGGAGGGACTCATAGGTCTGCTGCTGGCAGGGGGGAGGGGGAGATGGGCAAAAATCACACACAGCCTTTTGTGGGTGTAGAAATTTGAGGTGGCATTCTGCTAAACAATTCATTGCTAAAAAAAAGTAACAAAATTAAACGAAAGCCTGATTTGCTTATACCAATTATTAACCCACTATGCTTGAACCTTTGCATGAGCTTAAAGATATAACAAAGTTCTTTTGAAATCTGAAAAAAAAAATCACATAGCATAGAACTGCAAATAATTATAGAAGTTTTTTGCCCCATGTTCCTAATTTGTCTGTTCCAGGCAACTGGCAAATAAAGGGAAATGCACAGCTCCCTTAAGAATAGCCTTAGTGCGATGCATGAAGGCCATGCTTCAGGTAAGTCAAGAATCAGTAACAGTTATCAAAAAAAAACACACACCCAAGTTTCTTATATTTTTATGGAACTTAGGAAGCTGTCTGTTTTTTTTTAGGCTGATCCTCACTCAAAATGGGCCTTGCTTAATGTTAACGATGAAGAAGTTCTTCCTGTGTGTGATGTCTTCCCTCTCTTCCTTGCTGATAGCAGCTTTCAAGTCTGTATGGTTGCAGCTAAGTCAGTAACCAGGTATATCTTACAGGGTTGCTTTAGCACTCTTAAGTATCTTCTAAAGATAATTAATCCAGAGCTGGTCATTAGAAATTGCCTGTTATCTTTTTCCTACCACTGAAGGAGTCACCTATATTACGCTGTTTCTTCTCATACTTAAGGTGGTTCTTTTAAAAAAGGATAGGTTGGTAATCCAGGACTTCATGCTTGTCAGGAGAAATAGATTCTCCCACTAAAATACCTTGAGCTCAGTCCTATATACTTTTAGCAGAAGGCACAGGCAGAGACTGATAGTTCTTGCCTTTCCTTTCCCTTAGCAGCTCCTGCGAGACCCGGAAAGGGAGATCCTTGTAGCTAAAAAGTTATGCAGTAGGGGCAGCTGCAGTGAGGAGGGGGAATTGCCCCCCCTCTGCCTCTTGTGCCAGCTGTACCTCTTGTGCTAACAGAGGTAACCACTGACAGAAGAGGAGCAACTTTGCCAAATTACCTCTTCTTGCTGTTACTACAGCTCCCCGTGTTTTGTCTTTGTGAGTCCAAACCCCTGCATTACATTTTCGGTGTTCACAGGGGAAAGGAGGGGGGGGGGATTTGCCTCACTAGCACCTTCCACTGTGCATAGGATGCAGCCCCAAGTTCAAAACTCAGGGGAGTGCCTGTGACATACAGGGCTAACCCACCCTGCAAGAAGTGAAGTATGTATTTAGGCAGGCATGTTAGTCCCCTTTGCTTTCTCTCTCTTGTCAGGCATGCTGGTCTTTATTGGGATGGACTCAGTTTTCACGCAGTTGTGTTATAACACCATCTGTATCATCTTGGTTGTTCAGTCATAAAGATACCTCAGGGAGGGGGCAGGAACAGTGGTGAAGCATTCAGGCTAAAAAAAAAATCACAAAGCTTATTTCTTTTATAAAACAAAGTGAACCTGCACAGTACTCTTAATTGTTTTCTTCTGTTTGCGTTACAAGTTTGTTTCAAGACGTGAAGCTGAGAGACTCAACCGGCTTACTGAAAGCGCTTCCTTTGAAGCTCCAGCAAAGAGCTTTTGAGCAGTTATACATGAGGGTTCAAGAAGGAGCAAAGAAACTGGTAATACAGTTTGTTGCTAAATTAGGCATACAGATTTAAAGAAGCAGAAGTAAAGCATTTTTGCATTTTGATAGCTTCTCTTGACCTAAAGACTGTTGTTATTCAAGTCTGTGGGCCAAGAAACCCAATTCATGTTAGGTCTTTGGAGTTCTTTTCAGTCTCACTTTTGAAGTACAATGTCTGAAAAAAATATATTTGGAATTCATTTGAATGTGCTATATTTAAAGACCTCATTCTCGATCTGTCTGCTAATCAGTTAATATAAATAATGAATATGTGGGTCTGCCTTATATTAGATTTGTGCAATTAGGACCCTTTTAGCGCTTTTGATCCTTTGGAGATAGTCCTAATATCTAAATCTCCAGTAGGAAAACTTTTAAGTTATTATGGCAAGATAATCTTCTTCACCAGCTTTGTGCGATGCTGTATCAGAACACCATTTTATCGAAATGTAAACTGTTAAGAGCCATCTTGACTGGATACAGGGAGACTGATTCTCTTCCATTCTGTATCCTGTGTGACTAAAGGGACATAACAACGGGAGCCAAGAGAATCATCCTGATGAAGAGAATAATAGGAAATCAGTGCTCCTCACGTTAATATCTATGATTTTATGCTGCAGTCCGGTGTGTGAGAAGCAGGCATTGTTTGCAATGTTCCAGTGTGTGAAAGAGAATGGATTAGAGCCTCTGCTTGTAAGAAAGGTAAGTGCATTGGGAGGCTGTGTCACTAAAAAAGGTAATTGAAAGGGCAGTGCTAGACAAGGCTTTTTCATCGTTTTCAAAGAATGTACTCTTGATGGACAAAGACATTTAACTCATCAAGATCTCTTAACTCATTTGAAACTCCATTGTGATGTTATATCATAGTCAGAATAAATAGCTTCGGGGACACAATTGCTACGTACTTTGCTTCCATTAGGTTAATTTATTGTTCAGTAAAATGAATGGGAGAAACCTTGGCATTGTAAAAGCATCGTGAGCACCTATTCAAATGCTTCCCCCCCCCCAAATACTGTGCTGCTATAGATAATATGATTCCACTGTTAAGAATGATGTTATCTGGTACTGCCTATTTTCAAAATGCAGGTATTAGAAAAGATTTCTGGCACTTTTGGCTATAAAAGTGTCGACGACTTCCTGAATACCCACTTGGATTATCTTGTTCTGGAGTGGCTGAACTGTGGATATAGTCTTTCAGTTTTTCCATGGGTTCTGTTGAGTTACTCTAATTTGGAAGAGTTCTACAGGTACGTTTCTACATTATATCCATGCAGGTGAGGAACCACAGGGGCTTCCAAGGGTCATTTTCCCTGTACCTCCTTCCCCATACTATTTCTTCCTTCTCTTCTCCTGTCAACCACCATATCCGCTTCCCTTTCCCTGATTGGTTCTCTTCCCAATCACCAACCAGCCTTTCTTTTATCTGTACCCAGTCTTCAGTTTTATTTATTTACTTCATTTATATGTCACCTTTCTTCCTAGTGGGGGACCCAAAGCAGCTTACATAATTCTCCTCTCTTCCATTTTGTCCTCACAGCAACCCTGTGAGGCGAATTAGTCTGAGAAAGAATTATGGGCCCAAGGTCACCAAGGCTTTCATGGCCAAATGGGGCTCGGAGTCTGGGGCTTTCAGGTCCTACTCTGACACTCTTAACCACTGCACTGCACTGCACTGCACTGCACTGACTCTCAGCTCTCCCTCCTTTCCCTCTCCATGGGTAAAGTCTGGGCAAGTTGCAAAAGTTGTGTGGTAGCAAGTTGCCATGGTGAGTTGTGTGTGATGGCTACTGCCAGGCCCAGCCGCACAAGTTGTGCAAAGGCTGCTGCTGAGCTCAGGTGAATTGTGGACATTGCAACACCACACCAGGAAGCAATTTGTCCAGTGGTTGCTGCTGAGTTCTCCCTCCAGGCAAGAGGGAAGGGAACAGAAGATGGACTGGAAAGCCCATGAAAGCCCCCCCCCCCCGACTTCACTAACAGAAACCAAGGCTTGATGTTGTTGTTGCCTAACAACCCCCACAGTGACCACAGAGGGCATAAAGGTATAGGTGCTGCTTCTATTATTTGGGGTTTTTTAACCCTTAAGTCTATTTTTTTATTCAGATTTTTCTGCAAACCAGGGGCTTTCTTGTGTCCGTTCATGGCTCAAATCTCTGGATTTAAATATTCATAGTTAGGGCCTTGTTAAGAATTAGGTATATTGATTAATGGGTTTTTTTCATATATATTAAAAATGCAGAAAGTCTGGTATGTGACAGCACTGTATGCTAAATTCTCTCTTTTACTTTGTAAAGCAGCATGTAATGCTTTCTCCAAAAGCTCATGGAGATTTTTGACTTGCAGGTCCTGTTACAAAGTTTTGATTCCACAATTAGTGATTAGAGATCAGTTTGAAGAAATTAAATCCATTGCTGACAAGATTGAGAGAGAGTGGCGCCAGCTTCTGGCACATTGCTTTCCAAAAATCCTTCTCAATATCCTGCCTTATTTTGCCTGTCAAAACCAAGAAGACAGTGAAACCGTGCTCAAGAAAGAAAGAGCTTACAAAGTGTATGACATGCTCAAGGATAAAAATTGCTTAGGAAAACAGGTACTTTATAACCTGTTTTGTTTCTGTTCAGATGACATTCAGAAGTGTTTAACATTGTAACCCTATAATATGCTCTTACAATGATGCTGTAAGTCTGTCTGTAAATGTACTTCTGAGAAAAGCTGTTTTCCATATGCTTTTGTCATATATCTTTTGCTACGTACTGTTTGTTTTGTGATTTTGGAATACTATGTGGATTTGATTGCTATGTAATTGCAAATCTCCCTTATACCATTTGGGAGTGAAAATAACATGTCAAAGGTCTTAGAGAATGTTATGCTAGGATGGGGGGAAAGATATCTTTCATTGCTGGGAAACTCCCTTAGACCATGGGTTCCTTGGAAAAATACCCTGGCAATCAGCTGCCACCACTCAGTTCCTCTGGAGAACATCTAGACTGACCTGCACTCTTTCTGCTCAGTTACTAGAGCAACAAGGAAGTGACAGGGCAGAAACCCTAGAAAATATCTTATAACCAACCTGGCTCTGCAGTCTAGCATCTGGAGAAGAAATTCAGAGACATATCCCAAAGCAATAAATTGTTCTAAGCAAAGCCAAAAAAAGTATAGAAAAAGATTTATAGTAAAGAGAGACAAAAAAAGGAAAAAGGGTGGTTGAATTCAAAAAGAGGTGGAAAGGGGGCAAAAACAAAATAGCAACAGTAGCACAGAGAGGTTCAAATGAAAAACAATACAGTGAACTAGCTAAGCTAAACACACATTACCTACTCTGTAGTAGGTTCCTCACGACATGTGCAGAGTTCCTTGCAGTGACGAGGTTGGAGGGGTCATTAACTCCTACCCAACTTCCTGTAGACTCAGTTTCTGCTGAGGACGGAAAACAAGACAAGGGGAAATCCCAAATGTCCAGATATTTGTGGTAAATGGAATTGGACGTAAACCAGACTCCTTTCAAAGCGAATCCCATGCAAAGCTCCATGTCTGATGTCAGAGGCTACTGTTACCTATCAGAGCTACATGAAATACAGCCCCACTTCTGTCGAGCACCAGGTAGAGGCTCTGAACTTCCATGACAAATAGGTAGTCCAGTCCAAACCGGATTGTCCTGTTTCCAAAAGGGATTAAGTCTGCCAGGATGGTCCAATGTGGAATGGAAATGAATGGGTCATTCTAATGGAACCTCCAGCGGTCCAAGATTGCAGACAGTTTAGGTAATGCTCTTGTCCTAGTAAGGCATTGAGGTTTTTGCGGGGGGGGGGGGGGGGCTCACAATGTGTTTTCAGCCAGAGAGGAAGGTGCTTTGAAAAGTGAAGCATAGCTGTGTTTTTAGAAGCACAAGTTTATCTGCCAGAATGGGGTGATTAAATCCGAAAGTTGCATCCCAGGAAGAGAGGGGCAAGTATATCATGACTGATTGAGCTGGGAAAGGAAACTTCATCCCGATCTCCATTTAATCATTAGGAAAAGCTGTCACAGTGTCTTGAGGGTTTACTTACTCTCCCCTGAGATTCACGCCATCTTTTAGCTGCATTGTGGGAAGTATTTATTATGTATTGTATTGTATTTATTGTAACTATGTACCAGTCTTATGAACTGAGTGTTTTTACAAATGATGCTATCCACTCTGAGCCTGGTTTCCGGGGACAGCGGGTTATACATTCAATAAGTTAGTGACTTCTAGGCTAGCTCCTGGCTGATCATTTCTTCAAAGAGCCTACCTCCAAGCTGGAGAGGAGAGCACCAAGTTTCTGGATGGGTGGTGATCAAGTAAAAGTAGAATTGTCAAGGAAGGAAATTCTCCAGTTTCTGAGTTGAGCAATATATGCAAGGTCATGTAGTAACTTGTCTTTTATTGTGATAAAGCTCAGACTCTCTGTCGTTGTTTTTTACAGCTGATGGACAATTTAATTCACAGTAATTTACCAGAGATTGTGGTTGAGGTGCTGATGACCTTACATGAGCCAGTCAATAGCAAACCAGGAGAAGAATCTGCCTTAACCAGATTTACAGGGTACTGTTTACTTCTCTCTATTATCCATATTGTGTATGTTTTTGTTTAAGTGTAAGTGGCCATTATTGTTATTTAAACGTTTTTGGAAATGTTTAAGAAGTGGGAATGGTGTGGAGAAGTTTGCCTGTTAAATCCCGTGCTGAGCCAACACATGCCCCCACATGTATTGATGAATGAAATCTCCCAGGCTTTGGGAGGCATGTTGGTGGATCTACATGATACTGAAAAGGCAACCATCCAGAACAGAATGGCCATAGAGTACCTGTTGCTCAGGGCAGGGCATCACCGCGCTGAATTTAAGGGAAATCTTGGGTGGTGGCGAGCAGGCTGCAAAGGAGCAGGAATCTGAGCAGGAACCCGAAGTCTCGTTGGGATCGCATTCTCTGTTCTCTATTTTGACACAGTCTAAACTGTCAGTGATCAATTAATTATAAATATCACTGCATCAATATCCAATTCAGATTAGCAATATTAAAACATAATTTTTAATGGATTACAGGACCTGTAAGGCAGAGATGTTCTGCTCACCTGTTGTTTTAAGATTTCTGTATTTTATTTCTGTATCTTGATTACTGGATTGTTTTTATGCTTTGATGTAAAATGTTGTACACCACTCTTAGCCTGCTTGTTTCCTGATATGAAAAACAGTCTTTTAGTCCAATCTGATCCTATGTAATGGCACTTAAACTGTTCACATTTATATTTGTGGAGTCCAGAAAGTTCTGAGAGGCAAGCAATCTTTTCTTTTTTTTCCAGCGATCTCGACCCCATTCCTAATCCCCCTCATTTCCCATCATATGTCATCAAAGCAACATTGGATTACATTAGTAGTTGCCATAAAACTAAGTCAAAAAGTCTTGTTGCAGTTCTTTCCAAAAATCCTGTAAGTACCTGATCCTCAGCTTTAGGATATATGATCTGACAGTACTTCCCTACAGATGCATTAGTTTTAGGACTATTTTATGTGAAGAGACTCTATATTGCTAACATTGGCAGTATGTAGTAAGCTGTGTAAAGGCCATAAAAGAGATGTTTTATATTGTATGTATATATAATTTAGCTGCTAATAAAAGTCACCTCTAGAAAATTAGGGTGACTTCTTGCAAAATAATTTTAGTTTAGTAAAAAGTAAGGAATATCTCACAAAGGGTATTATTCTTCTCTTTAAAGGATACTGTGAAGGTTATGCTTTAAAAAGATGAAGAGAGACATCTGACTTGATTTTGTTTTTTCTATTTAATAATGACATGTCTGGTAGCATTTCAGGAATGATACCAAAACGTGCAATTGAGTTTGGAAACTGTTTGTCTGGGGAAAAAGAGTTTCGTAAATGTACAACCCTGAGGATGGAGCTAACCCTGATGTCATAAACACCACTGTTGCTAAAAATGGCAGCCATATATCCAGTTATTCCTTTCCACTTGATATGCCCATCCTCCGGTATATACAATTCTGTTTTGGTCATGGACTCACCTGAACATTCCAACACGCTCCAAAATCAGTTCGCTCTCTGATCTGTCATTCAGAGGGTCTCCCTATCCACTGGCTGCTTTGCCTCCAATGCCTCCAACATTCTAAACAGTTTGCTGTTCCTCTCCCCCCCATAGCCAGTCTGAACACAGAGGTTATTTGCATATGCAGCCTCATTGGCCTCTGCCTCGGAACACAGAGGTCATTTGCATATGCGACTTGATTTGCTTTTGCCTCTAACATTCTAAACAGTTTGCTGTTCTGAGGTAAAATGTGTCCAATCTCCTGGTGAGGGCTGGAGATCACTCAGAATTACAACTGCTTTCCAGATGGCAGAGATCAGTTCCCCTGGAGAAAATGGTGGACTCTGTGTCCTTATATCCTGCTGAGATGGCCCCTGTATGACAGCCAATGTGACATAGCAGTCAGGGCTTCAGAGCATGGTAGAGGCTGCAGGTGTGTGTGTGGGGGTTAGCTGAAGAGAGAGGGGGAAATAAAGGTAGGTTGCCAACCCAGAGTTGGCAACCGTGTAATTGGCTATGGAACCACTTTCCAGACCCTTGGAACCCAGAAAACAGGAGGAGGTGCTTTTCTACCTTAGCTGTGACTGCATAGCCCCAAATTAACATAAGCCAACCTCCAGGCGGCACCTGGAGATCTCCAGCTATTAAAACTGATGTCCAGATGATCAAGATCAGTTCTTCTGGAGACAATGGCTGCTTTGGGCAGTGGATTCTATAGCATTATACCCTACTGAGGTCCCTCCCCACCCCAAACCCTGCCCTCCCCAGGCTCTACTCCTCAAATTTACAGGTATGTTCCAACCCAGAGTTGGCAATCGTGTAATCGGCTATGGTACCACTTTCCAGACCCTTGGAACCCAGAAAACATGGCACAGGAGGAGGTGCTTTTCTACCTTAGCTGCCACTGCATAACACCCTTCTCCCCCTCAAAACATAACTCAGAGGTGGAGAGAACCATATCTGTTACCATGAGGCTGTCCTCCCATTCTACCCACTTGGGGCAGCAAAATGACTTGAGACAGCCCTGCCTTATAGCTAAGCAGAAGGAAAGAAACATGGCTTGCCTCCCTCCATTTTCCGCTTCCCTCTGCTGCCCCACCAGCCACAGTCGGGACACTCATCTGGAGCTTCCTTCTAGATCCCGTTGTATTTCTTCCCACAACGGGCATTAGTCCTAGTTACAGCATATCTGTGTTCTGATGTCACAGCAGTGTGCACTTCTCTACCACCTTTGAGCATCAGCCAGTAATGTGTGTACAGCAGCGGGAGAATCTACTACATTGGGGTACCGATGAGCTGGACTTGAAATTATGGAAGGGGAGAGGGGACTTGGCTGCCATTTCTGCCTGTAGTCTCATTTCTTAAGCACATCTCTTTGTTTGTTTTTTGATATTGGTATTTCTTAACATAAGCTGTACCTTAAAATCTAATTATATATGCTAGTGCTTTTAGCATTTTCTTCTTTTTTTAGGAGTCATTCCAGAGAATCTTACTTGCCATATGTAAGCAGACATCTGGAACAAATAATGCTTACCAGAAACATAGGCATCTCATGATTTATCATTTTTTTGTGAGTTTATTACTGAAAGAAATAAAAGATGGTTTAGGAGGTGCATGGGCTTTTGTTCTTCGGGATGTGATTTACACAATAATTCACCACATCAGCAACAGGTAAATATAATTGTCATTTACAGATTTGCAAAACACACTATGCACTCATGTGATAGATACAATGTATAATGTGTGTCTTAAATCTAGTGTAGAACTGTGTTTGATGTTTCTCTGATAAGCAGTCATTTTCCAGGGTCTTCAGCAGAGGTCTTTCCCAATCTTGCTTTCCAGTATCCTTTAAATGGAACTGTGGAGGTTGAACTTGGACCATTAAATTCTGTTTCTGAGCTTTCTAAGGACTATGTTGCATTATTTCCATTTGTTTGTGGGGCTTAGAGGACTTGTTCCTCCTGTAAAATTATTTGTATGGTTTGTTTCCTGTCCTTATATAGCCTGATGTCAAAAATGTTCATTATGCCTCCCTCAGTTTTGACATAATTCTCCCCCCTTTCTATATATCCCAGCCTTTTCTGTTATTTTTATATGTGCCTCTTTTTAAAGGCCTTCACTTCTGAAAGGGGTGTCCCTCCGGAGCTTCTTGCTTTGCTGTGACCTTCTCAGTTGCGTTTGCCATGCGGCTGTCACCTATTGTGAGGATGCCCTGGGGAGTCACCTGCACGTTATTGTAGGTACGCTAATACCCATAGTTGGAGAACAGCCTGAAGCCCAGGAAGAGGTAAGTTGTTAATAAGCTTTTGCTTTGTATTTTAGTACTGATTTCCCCCTGTTTTTGCCTAGGATCCAAGTAGCTGCTTGGGTATACCCAATGGAAACTTTTAGTTTTCTTTCTTGTAAGTATTTATTTATTTGATTTGGTTTATAACCTGTTCTCCCCGAAACCAGCTCGGAGCAGGTAACAACAATTTATGAAAGATACAATCTTAAAAAATTCTAATCATTGCAGTAAATATTCTAACAGTTGAATAATTACGATAAATACAATAAAATCAATAAAATACAACTAGCGTATGGCTAAAAGATGGCTTAAAGTCATGCAGAGGGGCAATATATAATCATCTGAAGAAGGAAAGGGGCGGGGAAGTGAGGGGGGGAGGGAGGAGAAGGAGGGAGGGGGAGGCCAATACTAGATGATACCTATCAGAAAGGAGCCCATTGCTGCTCTCAACCATAAGCCTGCCAGAACAGCTTTGTTTTGCAGGCCCTGCAGAACTGTACCAGGTCACACAGGGCCCTTTTCTCTCCCGGGAGAGTGTTCCACCAGGCTGGAGCCAGGGCCAAAAAGGCCCTTGCTCTGGTTGAGGACAACTGGATGCTTTTTGGGCCAGGGACACCAGCAGATTTTGATCACTCGAGCATAACACTCTTGGGGTACATACCAGGAAAGGCGGTCTGGAAGGTGTGCTGGTCCCTGACTGTTTAGGGCTTTTAAAGGTCAACACCAAAACCTTGAACTTGATCCAGTCCTCAGTCTGGAGCCAGTGTAGCTGGTAGAGCAGTGGTTGGATGTGTGCTCTAAAGGCCATTCCGATCAGAACCCCTGCAGCTGCATTCTGGATCAGTTGCATTTTCCGGGTCAAACTCAAGGGAAGCCCTGGCATAGAGCGAGTTACAGTATCAGACTTCTCATTCAGTGGTACAAAATCCTTGTGAATGGTCCCCTCTGTTTCAGATAGGGGTTTGGCATTAGGAAGTGCTGGTAGTTATATGAATTCGGAGCTTGTTAAAGTTGTAAAGAGCTAGTTGCACGATTCTTTGGATCTCGTTGTTGTCCGTATGAGGATCCTGTTTAGTAATTTTGCCCCCATCTTCAGTGTGTTACTGTGTCAAGAGCTACAGGAAGGCCAGAACAACCATAACTTGTTGAAGTTAAAACTAATACTAATACTTCAATAATGGTCAAATGCATCCCTCAAGAACGACCAGCAGACAGCCTGTGAGGTAGGTGGGACTGACTACCAGCAGGGAGTTGTCCTGGCTCAGCTAAGAACTGGACATGGTATCTGAAGTACTCATTGAAGAAGGGGGTCTCACCAGGGTGCTGCAATGTTCCCTTGAGTCTTACGTGTGTTGTTCAAGTGTCCATATTGTTCAGCTCACTGAACTATTCTTCACATACAGCCATCTGGTCTGCACTGTGCTTATTTTCTGTGTAAGGACATTTTTTCCCTCTTCAAAACGATCAAATGGCTGTCCTCTTATTAAGACACTGGAAAGTGCTGGGATCTGACTGCTGAAAGGATTAAGGGGTGTGAATTGAACAGAAATGTAGAGAAAGTTGGAAGAAGAAGAAGAGGAGGAAGAGGAAGAAGAATTGGATTTATACTCCGCCCTTCACTCAGAGTCTCAGAGCGGCTTACAGTTGCCTTCCCTTCCCCTCCCCACAGCAGACAGCCTGTGAGGTAGGTGGGACTGAGAGAGCTCTGAGACAGCTGCTCTTGAGAGAACAGCTCTAAGAGAACTGTGACTGACCCAAGGTCATTCAACTGGCTGCATGTGGAGGAGTAGGGAATCAAACCTGGTTCTCCAGATTAGAGTCCGCCGCTCTTAACCACTATACCAAACTGGCTCTGTTGCTAGATATATGTGGGTGGAGCAGTATGACCTAGTGTCACCATTCTGTTAAAAAAATCAAAAAAATAAAATAAAATCTAGTCTTTAGATCAGGGGTGTCAAACATGCGGCCCGGGGGCCAGATCAGAACTCTCCAATGCAAGAACAAGATGCATTTCTTCCTTTAGGAATGGCTATTGTCAGAAGAAAATAAAAAGGTTTCAGTTTTGTTTTTGCATGTGGGTGGGTATTCTGTTTGTAACAATTGTTTGGATACACTATATTTTTAATATGCTAGTTGTGATATTTTCATGCCAAGTAATGTAGCATTTTTTTCAAAAATGCTGAAAATTTCCATTTTTTTCCGAGCTTCAAAATTTCCAGAAATTTTACATCTCTAGCTCTCATAACAAATAAGTTCGACACCCCTGCTTTAGATCTTTCATGTGTTAACCTGGGTCCTAGGCTCAGAACTCTGAGCATGAGATTTCTGTGGTGAATGTAAATAAATCAAAAGTAGGTTTGCAGCTTACAGAGCTAACATTTTAAGCATGTTTTTATTTTAAGTAAAAAAAATAATCTTTGTGTTTGTGTCCTTTGTAAAGTTTATATCTCCGCTACCTGGCATTACATTTTATGACACACATGGCCCGGCCCAACAAGGTCTCATTTATGTCAGATCCGGCCCTCATTAGAGATGTGAAGGCCTGGAAAAATTTGGGGGGGAAACGGGTTTTTTCCATTTTTTTCCTG